TGGTTTTGCGTGGAAAACAAGAAGCAAAAAAAACTATAACACTCAAATACAAAAATTCTCTCCATTTTTAATGGTCGGAACAACAGCTATTATTATCCAGCAAAACGCTATCAAATGTTTCGTTACAAAACTGAATCTAGCGCTCTGGCGCTGGCTAGCAAATAATTCAAAAACTGTTCATTTCTCTAATTCGAGGTAAAAATCTGCGCAGGTCATTGGAGAGTCGCTGAACTTTGGATTTTAAAAAATCACAGACTTCAATAAAATTCACAGTGAAAATTAATTTTAAAACCCAAAACATCAACTGTTATTAAGTTTTATTCAGATGTGAAGCGGAAATGCGCACCCTTTGGAAATGTTCGAAAATTTAAAAAGATGGTTTCTACTTAACCTTTTTGAAAAATCGAACGAATCCGAATTATGTGAAAGTTTACATTCAAGACTTTCAGCAGTAAGGAAGCGCTGATTGGTATTAATGTTCTACTTCAATTCACGAGCTCATTAGTGACGTAAGAACTAGTTATGAAGAAAGCGATTATCTTTTTCAAGTATAAACAGCAAATTGATTGTGGTTTTCAAACCAACAACAATTTAGACAAAAAAGAAGACTCAAAAATACAGAAAACGAAACTGAACAATGAATCTTTTACAAACTTTTTGCTCCGACTTTCGTAACGAAATAATTGTGCTCGGGGTTGTTTTTTTCTTCAGACAAATTTGGTTTTTTTAACTAGCCATTTTTGACGGAACTTTTTTAACATCATTCGAAAGCTATTGTTGTCTTGAGCTCAAATTTGAAAAGATATTTCACCTGTGATCCTTTTTCGTAAAGTTACGGGGGTTTAAAGATTGCCATTTTGACCAATTTGGGACAATTAACGCGCGATATAGTTCGCGCTATTAACGCGTAAGCGGAGATTTAATCCGTCTTATAAATCGTTCCAAATTGGTTTAACGAAGCTTATTTGCCATAATTGATTTGTTACTAGTAGCGAAATCTATCTTTTTGTACTTTATATGGCGTGTGGGGGGATGATTTTCATTAAAAAATTCAAATTGAAGAAAAAAAAATTTTTATTTAGTTTTATTTATTTTTTTAATTTTTAATGTTATTACTGCTCCATAAACCTTAATAGGCAGTCGGAACATTCAGGGCTTCGCCCTGATACGAGCAGTCTTGTTGTTCCGACTTTCGATACGAAAGTAACGGAATATTTGTGCTCGGGGTTGGTTTTTTTTTTCTTCAGACAACTTTCGACTTTTTAACTAGCCATTTTTGACGGAATTTTTTTACATCATTCAAAATGTATTGTTGTCTTGAGCTTAAATTTGAAAATAAATTTCACCTGTGATCACTTTTCGTAAAGTTATGAGGGTTTAAAGATTGCCATTTTGACCAATTTGGGACAATTAACGCGCGATATAACTCGCGCTATTAACGCGTAAGCGGAGATTTAATCCGTCTTAGAAATCGATCCAAATTGGTCGAAGGAAGCTTATTTGCCATAATTGATTTCTACTAGGAGTGAAAACTATCACTTTGTACTGTATATGGCGTGTGGAAGGATGAATGCTCGCAAAAATCTTAAATAAAAAAAATGATTTTTTTTACATTTAATTTTTTAATGTTACTACTGCTCCCTAGACCTTAAAAGGCAGTCACAACATTCAGGGCCTCGCCCGGAAACAAGCAGTCTTGTCTGTATTTAGATTGCTTTAACTTCAAAAACCAATCTTTTCAATAAGTTAGATTAAATTTTAAAACATCAGCAACTGAACTGCTATAAATGCACCTAAATGCTCTGAATTTTTAAATGAAAATCTACAAAAGCTCACGAGTTAAAATTTACACAAAAATATGTGTTGAAGTTCGCATGTTTTATAACTTTATAAAAAATTCAAAAATTAAAGTTTTTTTATTTTAAAAAAATTATTTGAAAATTTTTTAAAAAGTGTGTAAAAAATTTCAAATTATTGGCATATCAGTACTTCTTACAATAAAAAGGTGGTTTCACTAAGTAGGTGATTTTAGGACAATTCATCTACAAGGAAAAGGACTAACATACGAATTTTTCGTCTCTTAAGGGAGAACCGCAGTTGCGTCTCTGCTTAAAAAATCAGCGAGCGGAAAGTAAGACAAAAAAATTCTAGATCACCAGCTGTTGACCTGAAGTAATGCATAAACTTTAAAATTTCAAAAAATAACCCTAACCCATAACCTTAGTGATTTCTACAAAAAATAAGGTTTAAGTCGCTTATGTAGGGGAAAACCTACTTTCCGTTCTTTTAACTGAACTGAAAATCAGATCTGACAGGATAGTTTTCAAGTAGTGGAAAATTTTCTAAAAAACGATAAAAAGTTCGCAAAACGAGTTTTTCCTGATTTATAACTGCTTTTCTACAAAACAAAATTGTAACAGATTATCCATGGAAGTTCTCTGCACCATGTGCTTTCAATTGAAAAATTAAACTCAGAATTGGTACTACAGAGTTTCAGAAAAAAGTTTCCGAATAGCGATCAAAATCTCAAAACATAGCCAACTGACAGTTAGAAATAGAAAAGAGTACTGAACGCAAGTACAAAGAAAATAAACACTGAATTTGTTCAAAAAATCTCAACTTTCGAATTTGAAAGAAAAAAATGCCCTTTAAGCTCTTCTAATTTCCAGAGCAATTTATGATTGGCGCTGTTTTGATAACATTAGCCCAACTTGCACAAAACTGGATTATTAGGTAAAGTTTTTACTCCGCGGGAAATCTAAAAATTGAATTCCAACTTGTAACGAGCAAGAAATTCTTCACGTTTTTCATGCCATTTCCATGCTCGTATTCGGAGAGTGCTATTTACGTGACTTTCAGCAGATGAATTTGAATTTAACTGAAAAAAGTGCACACATACCTAAGTTAATTTATAAATGCATTAATATGGATGAAAGCACATCTTTAGTTATAAGAACATTTTAAACTTCAAAAAAATAACCAAGACCTATATAAGAGTCTTCACTACGCTCATTTCTTTCTTAAATTTGAACTTTACTAAGTCCTTACAGCTTTTCAAAAAAATTAAGGCGTAATTGTTTCTACAGGGACGTTTTTCCAGACGCATATTTCAATTGAAGCTATAATTGCGGAGCCACTTATAAAGCGAAGTTCCAAATGCCAATTTTTGCGATTAAACTCAAATCTCAGATTCGGCAGGATTGGCCAGTTTTTAGGCCAAAACTTTTTTATACGGCGTAGCTGATACTTTTTCTTCCCTCCTCACTCTCAGAGAGAATTGAAACCTCAGTCTCGAAGCTGGCGAGGTAGTTCGAGAAAAAGAAAAACCCAAGAAAAAGAGTCCAACATTCACCCAGCTGAAAATTTCGAAGGCCGTTGAAGATGAAGTAAGGTTAAAAAAACTATAGAAAAAATCCGACACACTATTTACTAATTAGTCTTTCCGTTGGTATCAATATTCCGAAACTTAAATGGGTTTTGTCGAGAAACAATAAAATTTTAGCAATAAATGAAAAATCTTTCCTAGGCGTCTAAAGAAATTAAAAAACGAAATCCCATACATTTTTACAATACCTGATTTTGTCAAACAGGAATTGTTGTGCCCAAAACTGCGCAATATAAATTCAGTAAGCTAAAAAAAACATAAGCGAAAACCGTTTAATCGAAAAAACGATTTCAAAATAAATCGAAAAATAAAATTCAAAATCAGACTTCGTATCATGAATTTCAGAACTTCCCTTTATAGTAGAAAATTTTAAATTCAAAATAAATTCCATGCTTGACAAAGTATGTCGATAAAAACAGTAGCAAATAATATAAATTGCATTTTAAAAAACGGAAAATGAACGGGGAAACTAGGCCGAAAACCAAGAATCCAAAAAAAATTTATTTGAAATAATCATTACTGCCAGAAAACGGACTACACCTATTCACTGCATAAATTAGGATAATTTTATTTGAGTTTTCGAGAAATTGAAATTTCGAGAAATTTACCATGCCTTCAAAACTGACCATTCTGAGAACAATGCTATTAACGGGAATAAAGACTAGTACCCTATTGCAAAACCTTATCGCAAGCGTAATGAAAATAAAAGAAAACTTAACAATTAGGATTCTGTATTCAGGCACAGTTAAAAGCTTTAGAATTAACAAAACCACTAATTTAGTGGACCAAGTTATTTTTACAAGGATAATTAACAAACCAATCAGCATAATGACAGACCGAAAACAGAAACTAATTGAGAATCCAATTCAATGAAAAAACGCCTTTTGAATAAAAGCTATTTGAGCATACAAGCTGAACTTAGCCTGTCTGATCATAAATCATGAAACATTGAGCATACAAGCTGAACTTAGCCTGTCTAATCATGAATCAGGAAAGAGAAACCAACTGAACTTGGTTTCACTTAAGTGATAATGAAGCACCGGTACTATTTCCGAATCATTAAGTGAGTTAAGTAAGCTGAATCAGTAGGATACTTTGTTAGACAAAAATCTTGCTTGACAAAAACTCCCTATGTCCGGTTTCATAACGTCGGCTAATCGCCATCACAACCATAAGTTACCAAAAAACTTTGTTTTGACAAATCCACATGCTTGGGGAAAATAACACGAGGTGATTTCTGCTTTGTTTGCGGGGTTATAAAAGTTAGATTGTGATCTCTAATTATTTTCCCTACACTTATCTTAATTTCTGTTGAGTTACAAACTTTCGCTTTTTGCGATAGGGGGGGGGGGATTGCGGTGGGGGTAGTAAAAAAGATTTTGAATCTGTTGATTCAAAGAGAGAGAGAGAGAGTCAGGAATAACTTGTAATCCCTGCTCTTATTTTCGATCCAAACATTTTATTCCCTGAATTCGCATAAAATTGTTACTGAATACTTATTAAAAAGGATTGCAACTGAAAAATCAACTACAATACCAGATGACTTGCGATTTAAACGATATACACTGCAGAATTTTCATCATTAAAGACAAGCTTAAAATCACTTTATAAACATCGCCTAGTTGCTAAAAAGAAAGCAGCTCAAACTAAGCTCAAAAATCTGTAATTAAGTAAATTTCAAACTGGACCGTGCGTAAACCACGAGTTAAAACATTTGCTAATTCAAAGACGTTCAAAATTTTTATTCTTTCAAGTATAACAATAAGCCATGGCAATTGAGCGACGTGGTTTCAACAGTGCCATATGGGGTACAAGTTACAATCAGTTCTTTGGATACCCCCCTGAAAGCTTCAGGTTCATTGAACCCTACACGCCTCATGTTGACGCACTGAAAGAGACTCAGTTGCGCAATGGAGCTCAAGCGGCGACGGAGTCTTCCGAGAAGCCGAAGTACTTGCCGCTAGCCGATTGTGCGGTGAGTCATGGGGCTAGGTGTATTCTGGCAGCAGCTAACGCCATTGATATGGGTAAGCAAATAAATAACTTAATAAATATAAATAATGTGGTTTCTACGAATCGCAGAGGAGCTATCAGGCCTTAACAGGACTGTCGAAGGATAGTCCATCTGTATTAGCTCCCCACATTCCAGACTGTGTTATTTTGTTGAGCAAAGTTCTCAACAATCGCTTCTGTTCTGCTGTTTACTGGCTTAGTATAACAAGAGCAGCCTGTACCAGCGCAAATTTTACAGAAAGTTGCGGTCACAGTTATCTTTGCTGATTAAAAACGAAAACTAAATTTTGCGAATAAAAATTCATTCGAAATTTTTTTTGAAGTTTTCCTTTTTAAAACTTTTTGGAACGTAAGTCACAAACTAAAGCCAAAACCAATTATTTTAAACATCTTAATACAGGGAGAGCCATTTCCTGAGGATGTTTTTCATATAATTTTTAACTGCACCCGAAGCCAGGCTGACAAATTTTCATTATGATATATGCTTCGACCATGTCCTATCTGACGTTATTTTGCGTTACCTGATTTTGCGTGAAAAAAAAAAACAGACATGTTTCAGAGCTCGGAAAAAATCATACCAATTTAACCAGGCATGTAATTTACACGACTTGTACCCTCATTAGATCAATTGGATACAGCGAAGCTGCACTTCACAGACAAAAGCAACAAAAAAACGTGGAAAAGCGCTCGCATAAGGTTTGAACAGAAACAATGATAGAAAAAATAAGCCTCGACAGAAAATGAACTAAAAATAGGCCTTAAATAAAACCTCCGAGACTACGGGTTCCCTACCGAGATATTTAGTCATACAATCTCGTGTTTTACACAGAGGCGAAATTGCACTCCGCATACGCAAGCATAAATATGACCGATAACGCTACTGGAAAAAAAACTGAATGAAAAAAGTGTCGAGTCTACAAAATTTCTTTAGTGATGCGCGCCAATTATGAGTCTACATAATTGCTAAGTGATAGCGGCCAAAAATGACGCATTAGCAGTACCAGTCAATTTGAAAAAAAAAAGAAATTTTCAACTAACATGCCTCAATTTATAGGGCGGACGCATTTTAACTAGTATACGAAAAAGTTCATTCAAAACATCAGACCCTTCCCAATCTTAATTTGTTGCGGGTCTCTTTACTTATCTGTACGCTACAGATCCATGATACTTTGAAGCTAGTGTTATTTGTAATAAAATAGTCTGTGTTAATATCCTTAGCATTGGCTGTACTTAAAAGCTGGTTATTGATCTTATGCACATTTTGCAAAAAAGAACACTTTCAAAATGAACACTTTCAATATTCAAAATAATATTTGCGCCTTATGATGGAAAAAAAGAGGTTCATACTATAACACAAGCTTTGCTTGTTTAAACAACTCAGCCATGACATCTTGCTGTCAATAACTTTCACGCAAAGTTCCTAGACTGGCGGAAAAAACTATGCAATTACATGCAAAAATAATACGTATAAACTTTGAAGGTGATATGTTACAATAGGTAGTCATTTTGAGTATACTGCATGTATTAAATTTCAGAACTATAATGCACAGTATAGTAATTTCATTTTCAATCAATTGTACTACTTCTAAGATAGGTTTTGTAAATAAACTAATCTGCCAAATGAAATGCTATTCATAAATTCAAATTTTTCACTTCTTTCGCCAAAAAATTTGGCTTTTGAAATAAATTATATATGTGCGAAGTATAACAAAAAGCGATCCAGCTATTGAAACTTCCTACCACCTATTGTAATATATCACCACTTTGAAGTCTTGGGTAAAACAAAAAGGATGATCGCTCAACCCGAAACTAGCAAGCTCTTTGTGGATTGTTAAGTAGAAAAAAAATTCTGATTCGTGTTTTTTTTCCACGCAAATACAGGTACCGAATACAACGTTCTAATGTTGTTTGTGTTTTACATGGACGCGATTCAAGTCGTCCTTTGAGCGTTTGATTTTCACAAATTTGTATCAATGTCAAGGACAAGAGATCTATTATTCACATTTTTAGACTATATTAACTATTCTTAAACGGTATAATGACATTGCTTGTCATTATAAGATTTAATACCTGCCAATATTATTTAAGAAAACCGGATCTCTCCCTATTTTGCAAAGGGGGAGGATTCGTTACTAGGTGCACAATCGCATATGCTTAACCGTTGCATTATTTCGTTATAGGGCTGGCAATTCGTTATTAGTTATCAAAGGGGGATGGGATAGTCAAATAGATCCAGAAAACCAAAACACTTTTTCTTCAACTTCAAACTATTAGCATCAATTTCTGGAAACGAAAGCACTTCTTACGAAAATTAATAGCCTCTTCAACCGTTACGTCCCCTATTTTCTATGTTTCTAATTTTTGTCCGTCGTTTAATTGTCAATAAAATTGACATGTGGCTGTATTACTTAGTTGCAAACGAAGTTTTTCTCGGGTCTAGGGCAATTATCATCCGATATGTCAAACATCCGAACTTACAAAAAAATACGTAGTTAAATGACGTGGGAAATTCAAGCACAAGACAGTTCAATTAGCCGATGTTGCAACCTCGCAATACTTTGGCGCAACTGCGATGGTCTCTATTAATTTGACCAATACAGCACTTTTAATGTGTATGGTAGAAATCGGATCTTTGCCCTACTTTTTGAAAGATGCCGGATGTTTGTACTATTAAAGCTGTATTTCGGAGATTTGCAACACTTGTTGATTTTCGGATGTTTGTAACACTACTTAGTTTTTCGGATATTTGTCATATCGGATGTTTTTGCATGATACTCTTTCCTGATACTTCTGTAAAATTAATGTGTATATACAAACGTCAGATTACTTCAATCTGATTCCAATTTTCGAAAATGTTTATTCTCTTATCTACATGGGTGTAAATTATTGATAATATCAAGGCTTACTAAAGCTTTCTTTTAGACCCTTCATTTGTTGCCAAATACATTCAAGTGCAGCCTCTCAACGTTCAAGCGGATGGAACCTTCGATCCCTTCTGGGTGAAGCTGATCAAAATCGAATATGGCTTCGAGGAGGAAATACGAGAGGCGGTGGCTATGATGAAATACATGTGTACCAAATTCTCAGGCTCCGATTGTTATATCTACCCGACAAGTAACATCAACCGAATCTTCAAAATCGACTCCAAACTCAGTTTCGACCTGACTCAAATGCAGCCGAGTATTTTGACTTTCGTCGGTGAAGCTGTCAAATCGCATTCTATGCCCAAAATGAACCCTCTGAGCTCGGTTTTCAAGAACCTCGCTGAACTTGAGGCGATTCTGAAACGACAGAAGTACGTTGCCGATGATCAATTGTCGTTGGCTGACATCTCTATGGTTACGTCAGTGACTATGCTCGAAATCGTTCAGTTCGACTTCTCAGATTTCAAGGCCATTCAAACATGGATGCGTTTGGTGAAGAGTCTGCCGTTTTATCGAGTGTCTAACTTCAGCTTCGAGGACTACACCAAAGATGCGATTAGCGCACTTAGCAAATAGATTAGAAAACATCGATTCGCTTATTGCAGAACTTGAGCTTTAGGGTGCTTGATATTTCATTTATAAATCATTAACACATCTATTTACGCCAGTACATGCGGCAAATCTTAACAATTACTATTGCCTACAAATTCAAAAATTCTCCCTTGAAGCCAACTTTTTTGAGCAAAAACAATCACAAGGAAGTTCTAATTTGAATATAGGACCGATTAGCAATTATACGTCTAAGAGAATACAAAAACTAAAAGGTCAGTCTATTATCCAAAGACACCCATACTAATGATCTCTAGTTTTCCAAATTTTTGCCCAACTTGTTTTGCAAGCTCGAAAATATCTTCTGGATTGTACTTGACAGCAACTGTTAATTTTCTTTCCTCCCCTTTTCCAAAAGATTTCGTCTCCAAATTAATCCCGCTTCTTCGTTTCATAGCCTGAGCTGTTTGATGAATGAGAGCCCTTTCTGCGTTGTTGAATTCGGCCGAAAACACTATCGGCTCATCAGACCCAGAATAAGCGTAGTCTTCTAGTAACTTTTGCGCCGTTTCCTTTGTCAACCTTAACCCGTTGACACTTTTACGTGATATCTCATCTGTTAGACCTGCTCTTCGGACATTTGCGACCGCGGCAACCGGTTCCACGCGACCTTGTTGTTCTTTTCCCAGACCCGCCCCAGACCATCCCATTTTCATAAGCAATTTATGGCCCATATTTGACTGCGACAGGGAATCGCCCAGCGGAAGCGCTCCACTGTTTGTTATGTTAACGGGAAGTGGTTCTTCAGAAATCAGTTCTGTAGCTTCAAAATTCGACTCTTTCGCGTTCATATCTTCACGTTTTAAAACGATATTAGTATTTATTAATTTGTTGTACGCTTTCTTGGTGCATACTTTTTTCGCAGCTTCTTGTGAAACGCCAACCGCTGAACTTACCATCATATTTTGTATGCTTAAAACACATTTTACACTGTCACCCATTAATTGAAAATCAAAGAAATGTGGAATGTTGCCCCAGCTCAATGCGTTCATTATTATGGCATGTTCTAAATTTAGATTCATATCGCAAAACGGAACTACTAAGAGAACTCTTTGCAACGGCGAAGCATTTTGCTTCCTAATCCGGAAAGGTGGCGCTCTGAATTCAATAAGATTAAGAGGAATTTCTTGGTTTGAAATTTGGTTCGAAGAAACATTTGTTTTAGTGGAACCGTCAACTGTATCAAAAACTATTGGAGCATGCTTTGGCTTTTCTTTTTCTTTCGAAACTGCAATTGGTTTGAGAGACCGTTCTAGGATCGGTTTTTTAACAACTGGAACACTTTGTAACATATCTTCACTTTTAGTAAATATCATTTTGGTTTTTGCGGGTGCATTCATTTCAGCTGAATCCTCAAGATCGAAAACTATTTTCTCTGCTTTCTTTTTCTTCTTTTTAGGAACAGCCAATTCTGATTCGTCCTCGATAGTTATTACTTCTATTTTTTTGAAACTAGATTGCGACTCCGAAAGACTTTCAGTCGATTCGGCGTCTCGCTTTTTGCGCTTCTTTTTCTTAGTTTCACTCCCATCCTCTAGAACTTCAATTTCATTCGTCATTTCCGCTATCTTTGAAAATTTATTCTCATTACTTTTTACACTATTCAAACTATCTTCGCTTTTAGAAAAAGCCATATTTTTCGAACCACTTTTCGACTTCTTTTCTTTTGTGACAACTTCATTTGTTTCTGAAGAATTGAAGGCCTTGATACCTGCTGCCTCTTCCCGAACTTGCTCAATAGTATCTTGTGAAGCTTCGCCCTGGTCAAAACTAGTTTCAACCTTGCGTTTTTTGAATGGATTCTTTCCCACAATTGAAGTATCCGCCGGCTTAACCGACGTTGATTCTGTCGGCTGCGATGACTCATCATTCTCTTCGTGTTCGTCTGAGCCAGATGCTTTCACGAACTCTTTCGGAACTCCTCGAAGTTGAACCAAATTTTCGACTGTAAGTCCTTCCGATAATTGTTTGACTCGCTCTATCGTTGCTTTTGGATACCTTAAGAAAAAGAACTTGAACGAGTAGGCAGAAAACGATTACTTCTTACTTAAGAGGGTTGTTTGGTAATCTAGGTTGTTTGGTAATGACTACAACTCGGAGGCGGAGCAATAAGCAGCATGGTCTAAGAGCAGAAAAACAGAAAACTATTAACTTTTATTGATTTATACGGGCTAATTGATAAAAACAATTATCGGAATTGCGAAAAAAACCAAGAAAATGAATAAATCATGTAAAATAGTTTTTTCAGTGAATTTTTTTTAAATCTCAGTTAAATTACTCCAATTATGCATAAAAGATTAGTTAATTTGGTAATAATATCTATTCTTATACTTATTTTTACCGAATAGCTTTTAAAAGTAAATGTTTTTCTGCTCTTGGACCCATTGTGCTCTTAGACAATTCTGCTTATTGACTGGCCACCCTACAGCTCAATCATGTATGAGTCCAATCGTTCGTCAATGTTTCTCATCAGCTTACAATCCGCTTACAACCCTTTTCTAGTTTCGTATTAAATGCTATACAAAAATTGCTGCAAAAAATTGCCTTCCAACTTACTACCAACCTACATCCTAGGACCAGATTGTTGAGCCATGCCGACGATAAGGAGTCCAGTTCGAAGGGTTCCAAGGTGCCCCAGTGTCTGTCGAGGAACTGACGCCTGGTTTCCCACTCCCTGTCGCCCTCCCAGATCTTCCTCAGTTCCTCTATGGTCTCAACTGGCTTCCTCACAGGAGCCACAAAACCATGTTTACTTTTCATTGTTACAAACTGAAATAAATCACTCATAACCGACAATTCAAAAGCCTGTGACTGATGCTTACAGTGACAATAGGTTGTCGCGGAGCTCCAGCTTCAATTTTACAGAGTCGTCTAATTTCAAAAATAGGGATTTACTAAAATGAGCAAATAATTCATTTTGATATTGTATTAATTCCGAAAATTTTTCTATGACATTGGTAGGATTTATGGATACTCTTCTTAGAGTCAAACGATGACACAAAAATCCTGTTAACCATCCTTGAAAAAAGTCTCGACTGGTCCATACGTATGATATCTTAAAATTTACCTCAACCGAATGAAAAGAATAAAAAATTTGAAACACTAATTTGGAGCTACCCTTTAAAATCTTAAGAACGAAAACACGGAAAAAATTTCTTAACATCACTGTCGGAAAATGCACAAAAAAAAACAGGATAAAATGTTTCTTCAACAAATTTTTTACTTATATCATCCGAAAAATGTTTCGTATGGTTTTTTTAAGAACTGATTTCTAGTAGGTAAACATCTAAATATTTATAGTATTTTCGACAAATAAATCTATTTCCTCTTCTGTTTTTTGGAGCTCTTCGCTTTTCCCTTTGAGGGACTAATCTGCTCCATTCCCTTGCCTCTAGAAGACAGTCCGACATCTAAAATCTCAGGAACTGGAATCTCGTCTTTCTTAGATGCCAAAAACGATATCGAAGTATTGAAATCAGTGTCCACTTGAAACACATTCGAGGGGTAAGTTGGGATTCCATGTTCGGGTTCAATCACAGATTTTGTCCCCCAATTGCTCAAATTATCAAACACGTTTCCAATATTATCTCCGGGGTCAAGTAAGTTCGAACTTTCGCCAATCGAGTCATCTTGGGGTTCAATGTCAAAATCTCCAAACACCTCGTTCATAGAATCTGAGTTTCTGATTCTCGATTCAGTGACCTTTGACCTTTGAGGGTCAACCACGAACTCTTCCGACTCAAGGACGGAGTTGCGGAGCTCCAGACGTTGATAATCCGTATGTAATTTGCACTTGAGTGATTTGCGACACATTTTGGAGTGTTCATTCATGAGACTGGAAGGATCGACTACACCACACAGGCTCAGCAACACTTTCTGACAGTGATCCGCGCTAGAAACAAAAAATAGCAGTCAAAGTTGACGAGTTTATCAAATACTTTTTAGCAGTTTTATAAAGACGAGATTTTCTCATTTCTGTAGGGATTTTTTTCTTAAAAAAGATGGGGAAAGACCTGGGAAGCACAGATATGTGCGTTTCAGACCACAACAATTTATACCAATCAAAATCAAATCCACTTCGTTTATTTATCGAAGATGACACCGTTTATAGAAGATGACAGCGTTTAAAAAAACACTTAGTACTTTCGCTTCTTGCTTACGTTTTCCTTTTTCCTTTCCCATTTTGCTGATGATAGTAATAATGAATGATCAGTTTTAAAATCCAATGCTGATTTTATTTATCTTTAGTCATTATTTTGCCAATGGACCAAAGCTAATTTAACGGACGGAAGTTCCTCCCACCTTAAGAAATCAGCCCTTACATCACCCAGAACAATTTTTTCTCAATAATTTTTCATTTTGGTTAAAACCATTATAAATAAGTTTTAAACGAAAAGTTCGGTGCCAACCCAACACATAAACTTTAAAGTGGAATCGTAAAAATTTTGACAAAAACGTGTCTTCATCCGGTTTAAAACTTAAAAAACCTGCACTCTCGTAAAACTATTTATATACCCTGTAAATTATTACTAACTCGAGCGCCAGATACTCCGGGTACGAGTTGGCCGAATTCACAATTTTGACCGCCTCCTTGTACAGTTTCTGCTGACTGCCTCCCACTTTTTTCTTCTTCATCGGGTAACTATCGCCCCCCTCCGAACTAGACACGCCCATTGTGCCCTTTTTACTTTTCACACGCTGGTTTTTATGACTCGACGATGCCTTTTCACTACCGCTCGAGGGCGAGTTTGAATTCCTCGTTAACTCATTCAGCCCAAAAGCATCCAACATTCCGGGATCCCCGCCATGATTCATACTTGCACTATTGTTGCCATGATTGCCACTCATCTGGGTAAGTCTTCTGCTCGCAATTCTACTACTGCTTCGTCCCATACCCATACACTTTTCAAGATGAGGAGCTAAGCGGGTAGCCGCAACCATCCGTCCACAATTTGGACACGAGCAATCGATTTGTTTCTTCTGATTTAGAGGCATGCCGAAAATGTCACAGTACGGTAGCGTGCACAATGGTAATTTAGGAATGGATTCAATTCTAATTTGAGGATCAGTTTCGACTGTTGGTGCGTTAATTGAAGAAGAAGCAGAGCTGAACATATCGTCTAGATGGAAATAGTTTAACTTTATACTTCGATGAACTTCGAAAACAACTCCGATTGATAGTTCGTCAATGATGTCTTCAAGAGCGTCTAAGCATAAGTCGGAGAAAGTCGACGTTGATCCTACTGATTGTAATGTGTCCATTTTAATAATGCTGGATTTCAGCAAAGTCAACACAACAAAATCTAAAAACAATGAAATTGTCTTTTAGAGCTCTTAAAACTAAACTGATTGGGACAGGCAGAATACCTACGACACGCTCTTTAGCTGGTATGATGAACTCAGGCTCCAAAATTCGCATTAACACTAAAGTTGCTTTCGGAAAAACTATTACAAACGTCCTAATTTAACACTTTTTTCATTATGGTCTGGCACTAGCAGTATCATTGTCCAGTGTAACTCACAAAGTATGGGATACCAGCAAAAATATCTAGACGAAGATCAAATTTCCGCAGTTTTTCCTGCTTTTGTATCCATAGAAGATGCTATGTTCGGTTTTTAAGAACCGCAAACTATTCAAGCTAGATGAGATTATTTCAAATAGACAATTTACACGACCCAAAATTCAAATTATTTTGAGGAATTGTCAGATAACTTTGAACACATATGCGAAGCTGCTTTTAGCATAACAAGCAAATACTGGCAAAAGTGAGCTTTCAAATTTGAAAAAAAATATATATAACAAGCTTTGAAAGTTTTGAGAAAAAAATACCTAACCGACTGACAGTTGAAAAAATTTCAACGCAGAGGCGAATCGAAGCTTCTCACACTTGCGATACACGCAAACATAAAAAAAAACATAAGTCGGAAAAAAACTAGGCCTACTAAAACTTTCGAATGTCTCCATAAAAATTCATTCTTGTCAACATGCCAACCAAAACATTTCAATGTTTAATTAGAAACGAAACAAAACTTACGAAGCGGAAACAAAGCCGACAATCTTTGAGCAGATATCAGTTGAGCCGGAAAAAAATAGATTTTGTACTTAAGTTACAAGTCCCCCCTTAAAACAATAAATAACCCTTGCATGATTGCCAATCATCTGGATAAGTCTTCTGCTCGCAATTCTACTACTGCTTCGTCCCATACCCATACACTTTTCAAGATGAGGAGCTAAACGGGTAGCCGCAACCATCCGTCCACAATTTGGACACGAACAATCGATTTGTTTCTTCTGATTTAGAGGCATGCCGAAAATGTCACAATACGGTAGCGGGCACAATGGTAATTTAGGAATGGATTCAATTCTAATTTGAGGATCAGTTTCGACTGTTGGTGCGTTAATTGAAGAAGAAGCAGAGCTGAACATATCGTCTAGATGGAAATAGTTTAACTTTATACTTCGATGAACTTCGAAAACAACTCCGATTGATAGTTCGTCAATGATGTCTTCAAGAGCGTCTAAGCATAAGTCGGAGAACGTCGACGTTGATCCTACTGATTGTAATGTGTCCATTTTAATAATGCTGGATTTCAGCAAAGTCAACACAACAAAATCTAAAAACAATGAAATTGTCTTTTAGAGCTCTTAAAACTAAACTGATTGGGACAGGCAGACTACCTACGACACGCTCTTGAGCTGGTATGATGAACTTGGGCTCCAAAATTTGCATTAACACTAAAGTTGCTTTCGGAAAAACTATTACAAACGTCCTAATTTAACACTTTTTTCATTATGGTCTGGCACTAGCAGTATCATTGTCCAGTGTAACTCACAAAGTATGGGATACCAGCGAAAATATCTAGACGAAGATCAAATTTCCGCAGTTTTTCCTGCTTTTGTATCCATAGAAGATGCTATGTTCGGTTTTTAAGAACCGCAAACTATTCAAGCTAGATGAGATTATTTCAAATAGACAATTTACACGACCTAAAATTCAAATTATTTTGAGGAATTGTCAGATAACTTTGAACACATATGCGAAGCTGCTTTTAGCATAACAAGCAAATACTGGCATAAGTGAGCTTTCAAATTTGAAAAAATATATATAACAAGCTTTGAAAGTTGAGAAAAAAATACCTAACCGACTGACAGTTGAAAAAATTTCAACGCAGAGGCGAATCGAAGCTTCTCACACTTGCGATACACGCAAACATAAAAAAAAAACATAAGTCGGAAAAAAACTAGGCCTACTAAAACTTTCGAATGTCTCCATAAAAATTCATTCTTGTCAACATGCCAACCAAAACATTTCAATATTAAATTAGAAACGAAACAAAACTTACGAAGCGGAAACAAAGCCGACAATCTTTGAGCAGATATCAGTTGAGCCGGAAAAAAATAGATTTTGTACTTAAGTTACAAGTCCCCCCTTAAAACAATAAATAACCCTTGCATGATTGCCACTCATCTGAGTAAGTCTTCTGCTAGCAATTCTACTACTGCTTCGTCCCATACCCATACACTTTTCAAGATGAGGAGCTCAACGGGTAGCCGCAACCATCCGTCCACAATTTGGACACGAACAATCGATTTGTTTCTTCTGATTCAGAGGCATGCCGAAAATGTCACAGTACGGTAGCGTGCACAATGGTAATTTAGGAATGGATTCAATTCTAATTTGAGGATCAGTTTCGACTGTTGGTGCGTTAATTGAAGAAGAAGCAGAGCTGAACATATCGTCTAGATGGAAATAGTTTAACTTTATACTTCGATGAACTTCGAAAACAACTCCGATTGATAGTTCGTCAATGATGTCTTCAAGAGCGTCTAAGCATAAGTCGGAGAAAGTCGACGTTGATCCTACTGATTGTAATGTGTCCATTTTAATAATGCTGGATTTCAGCAAAGTCAACACAACAAAATCTAAAAACAATGAAATTGTCTTTTAGAGCTCTTAAAACTAAACTGATTGGGACAGGCAGAATACCTACGACACGCTCTTTAGCTGGTATGATGAACTCAGGCTCCAAAATTCGCATTAACACTAAAGTTGCTTTCGGAAAAACTATTACAAACGTCCTAATTTAACACTTTTTTCATTATGGTCTGGCACTAGCAGTATCATTGTCCAGTGTAACTCACAAAGTATGGGATACCAGCGAAAATATCTAGACGAAGATCAAATTTCCGCAGTTTTTCCTGCTTTTGTATCCATAGAAGATGCTATGTTCGGTTTTTAAGAACCGCAAACTATTCAAGCTAGATGAGATTATTTCAAATAGACAATTTACACGACCCAAAATTCAAATTATTTTGAGGAATTGTCAGATAACTTTGAACACATATGCGAAGCTGCTTTTAGCATAACACGCAAATACTGGCAAAAGTGAGCTTTCAAATTTGAAAAAATATATATATAACAAGCTTTGAAAGTTTTGAGAAAAAAATACCTAACCGACTGACAGTTGAAAAAATTTCAACGCAGAGGCGAATCGAAGCTTCTCACACTTGCGATACACGCAAACATAAAAAAAAACATAAGTCGGAAAAAAACTAGGCCTACTAAAACTTTCGAATGTCTCCATAAAAATTCATTCTTGTCAACATGCCAACCAAAACATTTCAATATTTAATTAGAAACGAAACAAAACTTACGAAGCGGAAACAAAGCCGACAATCTTTGAGCAGATATCAGTTGAGCCGGAAAAAAATAGATTTTGTACTTAAGTTACAAGTCCCCCCTTAAAACAATAAATAACCCTTGCATGATTGCCAATCATCTGGATAAGTCTTCTGCTCGCAATTCTACTACTGCTTCGTCCCATACCCATACACTTTTCAAGATGAGGAGCTAAACGGGTAGCCGCAACCATCCGTCCACAATTTGGACACGAACAATCGATTTGTTTCTTCTGATTTAGAGGCATGCCGAAAATGTCACAATACGGTAGCGGGCACAATGGTAATTTAGGAATGGATTCAATTCTAATTTGAGGATCAGTTTCGACTGTTGGTGCGTTAATTGAAGAAGAAGCAGAGCTGAACATATCGTCTAGATGGAAATAGTTTAACTTTATACTTCGATGAACTTCGAAAACAACTCCGATTGATAGTTCGTCAATGATGTCTTCAAGAGCGTCTAAGCATAAGTCGGAGAACGTCGACGTTGATCCTACTGATTGTAATGTGTCCATTTTAATAATGCTGGATTTCAGCAAAGTCAACACAACAAAATCTAAAAACAATGAAATTGTCTTTTAGAGCTCTTAAAACTAAACTGATTGGGACAGGCAGACTACCTACGACACGCTCTTGAGCTGGTATGATGAACTTGGGCTCCAAAATTTGCATTAGCACTAAAGTTGCTTTCGGAAAAACTATTACAAACGTCCTAATTTAACACTTTTTTCATTATGGTCTGGCACTAGCAGTATCATTGTCCAGTGTAACTCACAAAGTATGGGATACCAGCGAAAATATCTAGACGAAGATCAAATTTCCGCAGTTTTTCCTGCTTTTGTATCCATAGAAGATGCTATGTTCGGTTTTTAAGAACTGCCAACTATTCAAGCTAGATGAGATTATTTCAAATAGACAATTTACACGACCTAAAATTCAAATTATTTTGAGGAATTGTCAGATAACTTTGAACACATATGCGAAGCTGCTTTTAGCATAACAAGCAAATACTGGCATAAGTGAGCTTTCAAATTTGAAAAAATATATATAACAAGCTTTGAAAGTTTTGAGAAAAAAATACCTAACCGACTGACAGTTGAAAAAATTTCAACGCAGAGGCGAATCGAAGCTTCTCACACTTGCGATACACGCAAACATAAAAAAAAATTAGTCGGAAAAAAACTAGGCCTACTAAAACTTTCGAATGTCTCCATAAAAATTCATTCTTGTCAACATGCCAACCAAAACATTTCAATATTTAATTAGAAACGAAACAAAACTTACGAAGCGGAAACAAAGCCGACAATCTTTGAGCAGATATCAGTTGAGCCGGAAAAAAATAGATTTTGTACTTAAGTTACAAGTCCCCCCTTAAAACAATAAATAACCCTTGCATGATTGCCAATCATCTGGATAAGTCTTCTGCTCGCAATTCTACTACTGCTTCGTCCCATACCCATACACTTTTCAAGATGAGGAGCTAAACGGGTAGCCGCAACCATCCGTCCACAATTTGGACACGAACAATCGATTTGTTTCTTCTGATTTAGAGGCATGCCGAAAATGTCACAATACGGTAGCGGGCACAATGGTAATTTAGGAATGGATTCAATTCTAATTTGAGGATCAGTTTCGACTGTTGGTGCGTTAATTGAAGAAGAAGCAGAGCTGAACATATCGTCTAGATGGAAATAGTTTAACTTTATACTTCGATGAACTTCGAAAACAACTCCGATTGCTAGTTCGTCAATGATGTCTTCAAGAGCGTCTAAGCATAAGTCGGAGAACGTCGACGTTGATCCTACTGATTGTAATGTGTCCATTTTAATAATGCTGGATTTCAGCAAAGTCAACACAACAAAATCTAAAAACAATGAAATTGTCTTTTAAAGCTCTTAAAACTAAACTGATTGGGACAGGCAGACTACCTAAGACACGCTCTTGAGCTGGTATGATGAACTTGGGCTCCAAAATTTGCATTAACACTAAAGTTGCTTTCGGAAAAACTATTACAAACGTCCTAATTTAACACTTTTTTCATTATGGTCTGGCACTAGCAGTATCATTGTCCAGTGTAACTCACAAAGTATGGGATACCAGCGAAAATATCTAGACGAAGATCAAATTTCCGCAGTTTTTCCTGCTTTTGTATCCATAGAAGATGCTATGTTCGGTTTTTAAGAACCGCAAACTATTCAAGCTAGATGAGATTATTTCAAATAGACAATTTACACGACCCAAAATTCAAATTAATTTGAGGAATTGTCAGATAACTTTGAACACAAATGCGAAGCTGCTTTTAGCATAACAAGCAAATACTGGCATAAGTGAGCTTTCAAATTTGAAAAAATATATATAACAAGCTTTGAAAGTTTTGAGAAAAAAATACCTAACCGACTGACAGTTGAAAAAATTTCAACGCAGAGGCGAATCGAAGCTTCTCACACTTGCGATACACGCAAACATAAAAAAAAATAAGTCGGAAAAAAACTAGGCCTACTAAAACTTTCGAATGTCTCCATAAAAATTCATTCTTGTCAACATGCCAGCCAAAACATTTCAATATTTAATTAGAAACGAAACAAAACTTACGAAGCGGAAACAAAGCCGACAATCTTTGAGCAGATATGAGTTGAGCCGGAAAAATATAGATTTTGTACACCAATTACAAGTACCGCCTTAAAACAATAAATAACCCTTGCACCTATGAAGAAACTTGCTTACAGCAACAAGAAAATCAGTGATGAGGCAACTAAGCCAACGAAAATTGAGCTAACAAGAAAATCCAGCAATTTTTCCGGAAAAAATATTCGATTTCATTCAGACTGAAAAAAAACAAGGTCCGTCCCGTACTTGAACCTTAGACTGTAGGGTGCAAAAGCAACCACGTTACCTCTAGGCCAAGCGGGAACGAGCCGTGAAGTTGATAAGGTTCAATAACAAAGCAAGAAAGGAAAGCAATTAAGATTTGTAAGAAAAGTTGTTTACGGGAAAAACAAGTCAAGTTCGCGATTACAAGACACTTGTTCTCGCAAGCGGAATGAACAAGAATACCAAAAAAATTGGAGAAAAATTCAAAGAAAAAAAAATGACCTCAAAGCTCTTTGATTTTCAAGAATCGTTAAAAGTTGACACCTTTTTCGATCAAACTAGCACAATTAGAAATTCATCGATACTGTCTTTCGTTCTGCTGAGAAATATCAAAACTACAACCCACTGATGACAAAGCAATTTTGAAGAGCGCAATTTGCATCCCTTTTGGTGAGTGACATTGAATTGAGCTTAAAAAATTCAAATTACAAATCGCGAAAAATAAAATTTGAGCGTGAACAAATTTTGTGATCCGAAAAAAGTATAAAAAAAATCAACAAACAAAATAAGTATCCGCACTTCCTTCACTGACATATAATTAGCAACTTAATCGCTCGCCAATTAAATTGAGCAAAAATTTGTGCCAGTTAGCTTAGAAAAAAAGCGAACTCGCATTATACCGCACGCATTTGCGTGAGTAAATATGAAATTAAAAAACGATTGCGTTTGATAGCCTTTCCTGTATTTGATTTAAGTTTTGCTTGTCTAAATAATTTAGAAGTTCGAATTCAAACTTTTTTATTAACCATTTTTGAATGAAAAGTTCTTGGCGGCCTTGTCTATTTTTGACTAAAAATAAGCATTTTCAAATGAACAAAAATTGCGTCAGAAACTACGCAGCACCTTGTTCTCCGATATTGCTATATGCGCTTAAAGAATGATTTCTGAATAATCTAGTCCAACCCTGATTTTCAATTGCAATTAGATTTTTAGAAGCAATTAAATTTCCAAATTTCGTGCGTCGGGAGAGGGCCTCTCAATTTATTGTCGAAAAATAACTAAAACTTCACTTGAAAACAAGGAGCAACAATAAAATTCACTGTGTTAAATCAACTAAACTAATTCCAGACAGAAAAATATTTCATCATTTTATTTCACCATTTCAGTTTTAAAATTATATAGACGCGAATCAAAATCCAATTAGAGTAAACATATAGCTCTCGAACGAAAATTAAGTTTTTTCTACCATGTATCAGTTCAGGCAAAATCTGACCAATGAGGCAATAATCAATCGAGTCATGATGTTTTTTTTTTCATTTCATTCACTACTGCCACTTCCTTTCTCCTTTTAGATCACGTGGGTGGCACTAGGTGGTACTGCAGAGGGACTGCCTTCTGCTGTGAGTCACAGGCTGTGAGCCAAGAGGGCCTCACAAACTGCACTGATGAGTTGTCCTCCAGCACCTGGTCAAACTTGTCACTCCAACTCTCACTAGTCACTATGTAGTTTACATCTTCGCCCATGTAGTCCATAAGCACACTGATAAACATGCATTTAGTATAAAAAGATACAAGAAAGTAGTGCTTGATAAATTTTGATTTATGATTCGATCTCACCTCGCAAATATTTTATCAACTTTCCTTCTTCGAATCAAATCATAAGAAGACACAGAGCCACTTGACTTCGGATAACTATACTTTTTGCTCCTCTTTTCATTCTTGTCAAAAAAAATATAAATTTTGTTCGATGATACAAGTTTGTATTTGCTCAAAGTTCTTGATAGTTTTTTTTATGATAGCTGATGTGTTCGAGCATCAAAATACAAATGAATTTACAAAAAATGAACTTAAAAATATGAACTTAAAAAAACTTAAATTTGTTTCATGATGCAAGTTTGCATTTGTTGAAAGTTCTTGATAGTTTTTTTTATGATACCTGATAATGTTTGAGCATCGAATCAAAAATAAACTTTAAATTGAGCTCGGCATTTTTTGTTTTAAAGGCAGGTATTCTTACACAGTTTTCTGTGTTACGAGAAAACATACCCGTTATAGGCTATGATCAACCTCTTCATCATTCGCCTTAGTTCAGAGTCGAAACTTCCGAACAAAAGAAACTTCCGTCTTTTGAAAAAATCAGGCAACGGAGGCAGCTCCACATTTTCCAAATTCAAAGCCTCTGTTTTATCTGGAGTTTCTTTTTTTGTCGGCTTTGTTGGCATCGAGACTAACTGGTCGTCTTCATTTTCCATGTCCTGATATGGATCATACTCTTCGTCTGTTTCGACGTCATAAGCCGAATCACTTTCTTCCTCTTTCATTTGACCCCTCGCTTTTGAAGTATTGCGTGAGGTCCGTATAGTTTGAGACTCTTTCTTTTCAGAAAACGTACTCGATTTAGGCTCTAAATAATCGGACAGGCAAATGATTTTGATATCAAAAAATCAATATTGATAATACAACCCCTGTAAGATCCAATTTTATTTTCTTGATCATTATGGTTTTGCAGAATTGAGTCTGTCCAAATTCTTTTGAAACAATTACAATTAATATTTTGAAACAGTTAGAGTAATCTCAAACATATTAACCATTAGCATCACTGTTGTCGCCTTCTGAAGAAGCTTTTATCTCTGGTTCATCCTTTGTTTGGTCGGAGAGCGGAATCAGCGAGTAGCTGAAAACGATATTTCATCTTTTAAATATGACCAACAGCAAGAAAAAATAATAATCAACTTTTTGTCGTTAATCTGGTTTTTCCAGAATAATGAAGATCTTTTCCTGTTTCCTCAACCTTTTTGAAAAAAAAAATGCAAAAAGAGAATTCATAGATCTGAAAATTGATTTAAAGGAAAATCTGGTCCAATTTTGTTCACTTCTCAGTGGCAAGTTTAATGTTGAAGAACATACTTGGTGAGGTTGTGTCGGGTTCTGTTTTGATGGCAATCCAGAATCCATTCTTTTTTCACTATGTGCGCAGAGGGAGAGCTCTTCTGCACCTGATTGAATTTGGGCGTGTTGGCGAACGCGCATCTAAAAGTAAACACCATGTGCTATGTTTTCGCTTCTCAAGCATAGCCAGGCCCACTATACTAGTAATAAAAATTACTAATACCACAATAAATGACCGATTAATCTATAGTTTATGGCACAATCAGGCATGTTAACGGACTGCCCGTATCGGTTTAAAGCCCCGAATTTTCCGACTGCCCTTAAATCAAAGAAAAAATGTGATAAGAGTTTTTCAAAAAAGAAAAATAATGATTTTGTCTCTATTTCATCCCCCCACACGCCAGGTAAAGTTACGCGTTGATTAATTTTGCTTCTAGTTTAGTATTAAAAATACCAAAATGCCTCCCTCAATTAAAAAAAGGGATTTGTAAAAACAAATATATCACGCGTTAATTATCCCAAATTGGCAATTTTCAGAAGAAAAATCAGAACGTTCACAAACACTCCGTCTCTTTCTTCGGAAGTCGGAAAGTTACTTTTTTTCATGGATAACTGGCTAGAATAAAATTGAACTAATGAAAAAATTTTTACCATATCCGAATCAGAACAACTCCAGCAAAAGTTATGTGTTGGTACAACTGCCAGGTCTTTTCGGTTATATTCCCCCCCCCCCTCAGTGGATAAATTTGGCAATTCAAATTTTGAGTTGAAATTAAAAGCGAGTGAAACAATCAATTAAACGCCAATTGCGTGCAATTAGCAGCTGCTCGATTAAGATACCTTGTGATAAATTTGCCATATACTGTTGTTTCCTAATCGAGCAGCTGCAAAGTGCACGCGAGTGATATTTAATATTTTGTTTCACTCGCTTTCACGTTTTCAATTTCGACTCAAAATTCGAATTGCCAAATTTATCTACTTAGGGGGGGGGGGTATAACCGAAACTACCCGGACTGCCGATAAAACCTGGGAAGATGACTCGAACCAAAAAAATATGTCAAAAAAAATTCCGAAACTCGATGTTTTTAAGTTTAGCATACCCACCATCGCCCATTAAATGACAAATTTGACGTGAACAAACCGGTATAAGATTGGCGGACACCTTTACAGCCAACGGATCAACCATACAATTCCGCCCCTCTCCCCCCCCCCCCCCCCCCCCAATTGATTTAGGGGGGATAAAATACGGGTTTTTCAGAAATTAACTTTCAGGATAAAATAACTTGATCCAATTGATCGAAAAAATTTTATCGATACAAAATAATGATTAGTATTTCAGGTTATTAACAGTATGAAATAGCTGTTCCGTATAAAAAACTTTTCTCGAGTCGTATACTCTGGGCGCTTATTTGAAATGAATATGTTATGCGGAATTTAAGTTCAAATTACTACATGCTTGGGGTGGACATTCTACGATAGGTCACTGAGGAGTTAAATTGTACGGTTGATACCAGCCAAATAAACAGTTTAGGCTTCAAAAAATCAAAAAGGAAACTATGAAAAGTTGGAGTTGGTTTACGACCAGCAGGAACCCAATTATTGTATTAAACGTTTTTTCCACGAAAATAATCGTCGAGAGCATAATTGCCTCCCTTCTTTTCCCGGCAAATGAAATAAAAATGAACTTGAAAAGAAATCAAGAATGAATTTGCGAAAAATCAAATTTGAGCGTGAAGCAAGACTTCCAAAAAAGCGAAAAAACAAAATCAGAACGGCCTCACTGCGTCCATTGATACTTACTACAATTTTGAAAAACGTATTTATTCCGTTGTTTTTTCCAATATGATTCTAAGAATCAAATCCAATTTTGAAACTTCAAAAAAATCATTTTTTTGCCTTTCTTGTTGAAGAGATATATTGGAGCTCCCATATGAAAATCCAATTGAAAGTTGAGTCAAAATTTAAACAGCCAAATATAACCGCGCACCAGTTGAAGGTTTTTAACAATCAAAATCAAATGCATTTATTGTTCCGACTTTCGATACGAAAGTAACGGAATATTTGTGCTCGGGGGGGGTTTTTTTCAGACAAATTTCGACTTTTTAACTAACCATTTTCGACGGATTTTTTTAAATATCATTCAAAAGGTATTGTTGTCCTGAGCTTAAATTTGAAAAGATATTTCACCTGTGATTATTTTTCGTAAGTTATGAGGGTTTAAAGATTGCCATTTTGGCCATTTTGACCAATTTGGGACAATTAACGCGCGATATATAATTCACGCTATTAACGAGTAAGCGGAGATTTAATCCGTCTTATAAATCGTTCCAAATTGGTTGAATGAAGCTTGTTTGCCATAATTGATTTGTTACAAGAAACGAATTCTATCTTTTTGTAATTTATATGGCGTGTGGGGGGATGATTTTCATAAAAAATTTCAAATTTTAGAAAAAAAAATTTTCATTTTATTTTATTTCATTTCATTTTTTTATGTTATTACTGCTGCTCCATAAACCTTAAAAAGCATTCGGAACATTCAGGGCTTCGCCCTGATACGAGCAGTGTTGTCTCTTTTTATATACTATGAACAATGGATATATGCTGCGTTGATTTTAGATGGGAATGAAATCAGCTGGACTTCTACATGCTTAGGAAAACTTGATTCTCTACAGAAAATTTATTAAACCCCCCCCCAAGTGGATAAATTTGGCAATTCAAATTTTGAGTTGAAATTTAAAGCGAGTGAAACAAACAATTAAACACCAATTACGTGCAATTAGCAGCTGCTCGATTAGGAAACCTAGTGATAAATTTGCCATATACTGTTGTTTCCTAATCGAGCAGCTGCAAAGTGCACGCGAGTGATATTTAATATTTTGTTTCACTCGCTTTCACGTTTTCAATTTCGACTCAAAATTCGAATTGCCAAATTTATCTACTTAGGGGGGGGGGGTATAACCGAAACTACCCGGACTGCCGATAAAACCTGGGAAGATGACTCGAACCAAAAAAATATGTCAAAAAAAATTCCGAAACTCGATGTTTTTAAGTTTAGCATACCCACCATCGCCCATTTAATGACAAATTTGACGTGAACAAACCGGTATAAGATTGGCGGAGACCTTTACAGCCAAAGGATCAACCATACAATTCCCCCCTTCCCCCCGGTTTTTCAGAAATACCGGTTTTTCAGAAATTAACTTTCAGGATAAAATAACTTGATCCAATTGATCGAAAAAATTTTATCGATACAAAATAATGATTAGTATTTCAGGTTATTAACAGTATAAAATAGCTGTTCCGTATAAAAAACTTTTCTCGAGTCGTATACTCTGGGCGCTTATTTGAAATGAATATGTTATGCGGAATGTTCAAATTACTACATGCTTGGGGTGGACATTCTACGATAGGTCACTGAGGAGTTAAATTGTACGGTTGATACCAGCCAAATAAACAGTTTAGGCTTCAAAAAATCAAAAAGGAAACTATGAAAAGTTGGAGTTGGTTTACGACCAGCAGGAACCCAATTATTGTATTAAACGAAATTCAAAATGCAAAAATGCTCAAAGTATGTCGGTGAAATCACTCTCACTACATGTACTAATTCTTCACCTTTGTAAAAACAAATTCTAGTACCCGTTTACCAGACACCTGCTCTCGCAAATGTAATAAAACATAGCCAACAGACAGTTGGAAAAGGGCCACAGTCAATGAACGCAACAGAAAAAAAATACCGACATTGAAAAAATACCGTTTTATGGAAATAACTCAACTTTTGAATTTCAAAGAAAAAAATGATTTATGACTGCCACTTTTTCAATAAATATGACCGAATTTGAGAAAACTGGACCAACAGGTATTTTTTTGCTGTTAAATCTGATAATTAAATTCTACTTACGAAACTAGAAGTCGATTACGTTTTCGTGACCTTTACGCTTTTTTTTGTTCGACAGTGGAGTTTGCCTTCCTTTAAACAAAGGAAACAAACTGCACTTAAAAAGAAATCAAAACTCAAACCGCGAAAAATGAAATTGATCCTGAAAAAAAATCATTGCGACCTATATAGGAGTCTGAACTACGTTCATCGACTCTTAATTAATAATATCCAACTTGAACATCAAGAAAATGCAACTATTTGCGTCATTCCATCTGTTGCTGTACGAGAATTAGCTTTCAGCTCCACTGGAACATAAACTTAAGCCCTCGAAAACAATGAATGAGCGAAATTGACAAAGTTGTAGAAAAAAAACACAATCCAATTGAGTAAATATTTCGAAAATTTTCAATTAATATAGAGACCAAAGCTAACAAAAAAAATGGAAACGCATAACCGAACTAGAAAAAAAAACATTTCCTAAAAAAATTATGGACCCTTAAAGCTGTGAATTTAAAGAATTTTGTATGAGTGACACTTTTCGATTAAAACAACTCAAAGTTGAGCATAAAATATTATTAATAGGTAAATTCTTCTTTCCTTGGGAATTGCAAAAAAAGAAAATCCATATTTGAAATATGTAATCTTATACGTTTTTTCCACGAGAATAATCATCGAGAGCCTAATTGCCTCCCTTCTTTTCCCGGCAAATGAATTTAAATTGAACTTGAAAAGAAATCAAGAATGAATTTGCGAAAAATCAAAATTGAGCGTGAAGCAAGACTTCCAAAAAAAGCGAAAAAACAAAATCAGAACGGCCTCACTACGTCCATTGATACTTACTACAATTTTGAAAAACGTATTTATTTCGTTGTTTTTTCCAATATGATTCTAAGAATCAAATCCAATTTTGAAACTTCAAAAAAAAACATTTTTTTGCCTTTCTTGTTGAAGAGATATATTGGAGCTCCCATATGAAAATCCAATTGAAAGTTGAGTCAAAATTTAAACAGCCAAATATAACCGCGCACAAGTTGAAGGTTTTTAACAATAAAAATCAAATGCATTTATTGTTCCGACTTTCGATACGAAAGTAACGGAATATTTGTGCTCGGGGTGGGTTTTTTTCTTCAGACAAATTTCGACTATTTAACTAGCCATTTTCGACGGATTTTTTTTTATATCATTCAAAAGGTATTGTTGTCTTGAGCTTAAATTTGAAAAGATATTTCACCTGTGAATATTTTTCGTAAAGTTATGAGGGTTTAAAGGTTGCCATTTTGACCAATTTGGGACAATTAACGCGCGATATATAATTCACGCTATTAACGCGTAAGCGAAGATTTAATCCGTCTTATAAATCGTTCCAAATTGGTTGAATGAAGCTTATTTGACATAATTGATTTGTTACAAGGAACGAATTCTATCTTTTTCTACTTTATATGGCGTGTGGGGGGATGATTTTCATAAAAAATTTCAAATTTTATAAAAAAAAAATTCATTTTGTTTTATTTCATTTCATTTTTTTATGTTATTACTGCTGCTCCATAAACCTTAAAAGGCATTCGGAACATTCAGGGCTTCGCCCTGATACGAGCAGTCTTGTCTCTTTTTATATACTATGCACAATGGATATATGCTGCGTTGATTTTAGATGGGAATGAAATCAGCTGGACTTCTACATGCTTCGGAAAACTTGATTCTCTACAGTAAATTTATTGAAATCCAAACCAAAAAAATCGAATGAACCTTAACCAAACAAATGCATCCTTTATCCGAAACAAATTGAAGATTAGATTTAATGATTTAAAAACTCATTTTTTAATCATGGTATTCGCTATTGCCATATAGGGGCTCTTGTGACATGTAATCCAGTTTGTCGTACAATCTTCTTCTCTGGTAATGCTGGTACACTTTGTTGGCCATCAAAACAGAGGCGGTCACTGCCGCTACCACACAGAAAACAGAGATTAGAATCAGTCCTATTTCGTCCGATGGATGGGCCAGAGCTGAGTTCAGATTGGACGAGATCGAATCAAAACTGTTGCCTGCTTCTTCTGTGTTATCGTCTTCATCAGTGAAGTTTTCTTCATCGCCCATGGGCTTTAAAACAGCATCAAAAAAGTCATCATACTCGATATCGCCTGAATTTTTGTTCGATTCTTCATAAAAGTCATCATCTTCGTAATCGCCATCTTCGTAATCACCATCTTCGTACTCGTAGCCTTCGTCCGATTCGTCGCCATAAGACTCTTCAGATGTCGTTTCTGACTCCTCCCCCGAATTATCAAGGAATTCTTCAGACCCACCGTCAGTTTCTCCCGATTCACTTTCGTCTTCTTCGGATTCATCGTCAGCTTCAACGGATTCACCTTCGGAATCTTGGTCTGATTCCTCGATGGATTCATTGTCGGATTCTTCGCCTGATTCACTGGATTCCTCGTCTTCAGTTTCCGCGGACGGGGATGTTTGAGAGAAGTTCGCCTCAGATTCTTCCACTCCGTGGAAGTCTTCGATAAATATGACGAATGTGCTCTCCTCGCTCTGAAACGACTAAATATGTATACTTCCATACAATTTACAGTAAAAGCTTGTTTACAATAAGACTGCACCAATTTACATTCAGAAGCTTCTGAGATTGCTTATTGCAATTTAGCTACTAAAGTATATCGAAAAAGGATACTACTTGAAAAAAATCTACTTCGACTTTTTTCGAAGAAAGAGACAGAATATTTGTGCTCGGGTTGGTTTTTTTATCCAGACAAATTACGACATATTAACCAGCAATGTTTAACAGAGGTTTTTTTACATCATTCGAAAGGTATTGTCGGATTTTTTTCTCGAAAGGTATTGTTGTCCTGAGCTTATATGTAAAAAGATAGTTTACCTGTGATTTTTTTATTCGCGCTTATTAGGCCAACTTGCTAATTAGGCCAACTTGGGACAATTAACGCGCGCTATAATTCGCGCTTTTAATGCGTACGTGGAGATTTAATCCGTCTTAGAAAATTGGTTGAAGCAGGCTAGTTGTAATAATTGTTACGCTACTAGGTGCAAAATCTATCACTTTGCTTTTAATACGGCGTGAGGGACAATGATTTACAAAAAAAAGAACAGAAAAGGGCCTTTATAGTGCTTCGGAAGAGCTTGAAAATTCATTAAGATCGGCCTAAAAAACCGATTCAATGTTCGAGAACGAGAACTTTTTAAACAGAAAATGCCCGACAAAAAAACTTGAACAGCGCTTGCGTGACTATTCTTAACGGTGTTTGGAAATCCAAATAATGTTAGCCTAGTCGCTAAAACAGATACCTAAACGTACAGTACAGCTGATTATACCGAAACAGATAAAATAAACTTAGATAAAATAAATCAGGTTAAAGCTCTTTCAATTTCAAGAACAATTTATGACAGACTTTGTTATGATAAAATCAACTAAATTACAAAAAACTGTAGCACTGGGTAAACGTTCTACTACGCTGAGAAATCTAAAAAATAAAGTCACTTTCAAAACTAAAAGTCGTTCCCGCTTTTTTCGCGCCATTTCTGCTATCGTAATATGAGAGCGCAACTCACCTAACTTTAGCAGACGAACTTGACTTGAGCTCAAAAAGTGCACATATAACTGAAGGCATTCATAAATGCAGGAAGATGTATGAATGCATTTCTATAGTTATTAGAGTATTTTAGGACTTTTCCTGAACAAAAAAAATATATAGAGAAAACCCATAAAAAAAACTAATATAAAAACAGAAAATCTATGTAAACACTTAGATTTAATCTATGTAAATAAAAAAGAAAATCTATGTAAATAAAAGATAAAAGCAAGGAGAATTCCCCAAAAATCGGATACTTATACGCATTGACTTTCAACAAGACTGCTAGTATCAGCGCGAACCCCTGAATGTTCCGATTGCGAACCCCTGAATGTACCGATTGCATTTTGCTTTCTTTGAAGTAGTTTGAATTAAAACAATGGATGAAAATTTCAAAAAGAGAAAAATATATATATATTTTTTGAAAAATATCGCTCACACGCTTTGTAAAGTACAAAGTGATATATTTTGCATAGTGCAAAGTATTAAATAGATCAAAGAGAGAGCGTCAAACCAATTTGGAACTATTTTTTAAGACAAATAAGACTGCTTGTATAACACGGCGAAGCCCTGATTGTTTCGACTGCCTTTTGGGGCCAATTTAAAAGTTGTGGTTAAACTGACAAAAAATTGAAACTGACAAATTCTTTTTTCTCCTCAACTTACCTCCCACAAAGGGGATGTAAATTACAAAGGGATATTTACCGTCTCGTAATCTCCGGGTGAGGGATAATAATAAGCAAAAAAAATTTGCCTCATTTCAAATTGGAACGATTTAATCCGCCGCCTACTATTATGTTTCGGATAGTTTTTAAAAAATCCCGTCAGAAATGCTTAATTAGAAGCTAGAAAATTGAAATGCTTAATTAGAAGCTAGAAAATTGACTGAAGAAAAAAACCGACCCACGCATAAATATTACACTCTTTCTTCGAAAGTCGGAAGAATAAGACTGTGAATTAGACTGAGAACAAATTTATACTGAAGTACAAGACATCTCGTGTATCAGGGCAAAGCCCGGAATGTTCCGACTGCCTCTTAATCCATATCGAATAATTTTTCGGGAAGAGAAAATATTGAAAAACTATAAATTTTGGACAATATCAAACATCAAGGGTAAAAACTTGAGTCGTACAAAATTAATATGATCAAAGAGCTAGAGTCAATTCAATTTGGAACCATTTTGTTGTGCGATATAATTCGCCTCGCATAAATAATTTGTGTCACCCTTTCAGGATTATGGATAAAATCTGAAAAGTGCACATAAATTAGTCCGGAGCATGGCCACTTCTAAAACTTCGCAGCACATGCAATACAAAATGTATGACTATGGTTACCAGCAAATGAAAAGATAAATCAAAAATTGAAAAAAAAACCTGCAAAAAATCTTTGTCAAAAAAGTTACAAAAATTGCAAAAAAGTCAAGAAAATCCTGGAACAAAAATATCTGAACCGTTACAAGCTTTACAAAGAGCTTTCAAAAAGCTAACACAGAGGCGAAGCTGTGCTGTGCAGATACTTGCGAGAACACGACCAAAAAGCACCAAAAACAGAAATAAGCCTCGAAATAGCAAAAACTCGGCTATGTCTAGGATTTGATTTGCGACCTACTGCAATCAAAAGATTTTGAGTCTCACGCACTATCTACTCAGCCACGCAAGCTTAACAACCGACAAACACTAGTCACGAAGAAAACAGCTACATACGCTAATAAATTGCCAATGCTATTCAGCAAAATCGCACCGAATACAAATATATTCAATTTTTAAAGTAATAATTTGGATGATAACAAACTGAAGGCATCACACCAATTTTGCATGTAGTAATTTGCAAAGCATAAAGCCACAGGTATAAAATAAGCATTTCAAAAATTTGCGAGATATATTGAGTTAGAACGTTTCCGAAATCGAGTTATTGTTATTGTGTTTGAAACAAATTACTTCTTTCGGTTCATTTGATGAATTAAAAATGCATCAACTGTCTTACCTTATTACTATTCGAATATCAAAGCCCATGCTTTGAAGAAGCTGTAAATGAGCCCAAAAAGTGGCACCAAAATTGGCGACTTAGGTTGGAAAAAAAGAAGGTTCGTACTAATACACTCGCTTCGCAAGTGTAAAAAGAAACCGAACCTTTCCGCGGGACACAAACCGACAAAAATTGGCAGACACAAAAATCTAGAAAATTTCAAACTTTTCAGTTTCGACAAAAAAACAGGTTCCGACTGAAATCTAACTTCTGGGATTTTTCGTCTCAAGCATGGGTGTCACCACTGCACTAAATGCACAGAACACTCCTTGATTTTATAAAGAAAAACAATTTCCAATAGTTTTTATTGAACAGCAGTAAAAAAATCAAAAAATAACAATAAAATAGGCAAAACATCTTGGAATTCAATTAGTCGCCCAAAGCCGGGATACACTGAAATGTTTTTTGATTACAGTAAAAATTGCCCAATTATTGGGCAAATTTGGTGCTGCGGTAACTAAGCAGACAAACAGAAGTCCGAAAAAGATGTTTTGACGCGCGGCCAATTTTCAGCTTACAAAAAAACAGATCCTGGCGGGATTCGAACCAATGACCTTTGATTTTGTAGGCAGGTGCGTAAACTCTTCACCACATGCGCGAAATAAGGTCTGAATTTTGGTTTGATTTCATTTGAACCAAAAGTAAAATGATTCAAGTGATTCTGATAAACTAGTTGTTAACCCGAAAAAAGCCTATATTCCGGTTTGATAATGCTTGCTAATCGCAAGCTTAATAACTATTATTTCGATTCCCGAAAATTTAAGCAATAAAAAAACCACACCAAGCTTAAATAGTCCGTTCTCTTCGAAAGTCGGAACAATTAAATCTCCGCTTAAGCGTTAACAGCACGAAATATATCGCGCGTTAATAGTCTCCAATTGGCAATCTTTAAACCCCATAACTTTATGAAAAAAGATCACAGGCAAAAAAAAATCTTTTTTAAATTTTAACTCAGGACAACAATATCTTTCGAATGACATACCTAAACTCCGTCAAAAATTGGTAGTTAAAACTTTGGAAAAAACTCCCGAGCATAAATACTCCGTCATTTTCTTTACAAATTGTCGGTAAAAACACACATGGACTGAATCGTTTCGACTGATTCGACAAATTGATATTCGCATTTAACAAGTATATTAGAGAAGTTTGAATGACTCACAACTTGGCTTTCCAGCAAAAATTCTGATCCACAGTTTGGCTCATTGCAGTGCACGAGATAACAAGTCTCACTTCTGCTCTCTTCGCGGAAGAACACAGCCGTGTTACAAGACTAAAACACAAATGATTGATGGTCAAAAGAGGATCTAATAAAAAATAAGATTAGTTCGGGCTCTACCCCGACTCACCTATTGTACCCACTCAAGAACTTATAACGACCCTATAAAGGAATAACTAATCTGTCTAGCTAATTAGAATTTTGTTTCTGTGAGAATTTTGTCCCAAATTTCGGAGTGTTTATATATTACAATAGGTGGCAGGTTTGAGTTAAATAGCTGGATCGCTTTTTGTTATACTTCAAACTGTATTTAAAATTTTTTTCAATAGCCAAATTTTTGACAAAAGAAGAGTAAAATCTATGTTTTTGGATATTATTTTTTCTGGCAAAGTATTGTATTTACAAAAACTTTCTTAGCAGGATGTACAATTGATTGAAAATGAAATGACTATATTCTGCATTATAGTTCTAAAATGTGAACTTGCACTATACACTAAATTGGTGTAAATAAATTAGTTTTAAAAAATTAAAAAGTTTCAAGTCCACTTCCCTGAATTTACAAAACAACACTTGCACTTGCATTGAAAGTTGCTTACAGGAAAAACCAGATTTGTGATGTGGTAACAAAGCCGACAAATTTTCAGCAGAATAACGGAAATTCAACAATTCAATTTTCACCGATTTTTTTTCAATTGCATATATACTAAAAAACAAGTTCCGGCCGAGAGTCGAACCACATCTATTTACTACCTAAATTAAAGTAGTTTTATTTGAATTTTCAAGAATTTGAGCATGTCTGAAATTTACCATTCCTACACAAGACCATTCCGTGCCTAAAGTTATTTACGGGGAAAAAAGTCTAGTATCCGATTGCAATACCCTTGCTTATCTCAAAGGTAATAATTGCATTTAAAACTCAGAAGCAATTAAACTGAGTTCTGGAAATAAAAATGCAGTTAAATTACGCCCAACGCTAACCTTACAAAAAAGAGTATAAAACTAACCTCGGCGTTGTTTCCCATTTCTTCCATGACAGACGAGTACACATCACAGCACATCTGGGCACACACAGACGCATCATCTGCCTCTTTCGCCCCCAGGTAGAACCCCTTGCCCTTTTCTTGCAGCCCCTCAATGTCCAACAGCTGGTTTTGTCTCATGTCCAAGTCACCGCATGGATTACTTTCGTCTGCCATTACGTTTTGAATACTTGTCAGTAAGCCCAGAGTCGATAGGCACAAAAGCATAGTTGTAAGCGGCGGGTTCATTGATAGCATGTTGTTCATGTTCAATTTTGATTTTTGACAATAGTTAAATAAGTGATTTGATTTATGCAATATTTTCAATGAAATATGGCTACACAGCCCGGATTGCAAGAGTTTACAGAATAAAGGACCACTGACAACGATGAGAGAAAATCTTGTTTTTAGAAGCTCGTTATATTATTAAATCCAACAACATAGTCTATTTTCATTAGTTAATAACCACTGACTGAGATGAAAAAAAAATCCAACACTAGTGCTGAGATATGTAAAATGTTAATAAAATTGAAAAAACATATCTTTTTTTTTTCAATTTAATAAGAATACAGATTTGTTTTAAATTGACATTATGAGTGAAACATGTACATTTGTGGACACGAGGAATAGATAAAGCATGGGAGCCAACAGTTTTCAAGTATCCACTCTTATTTGCACGTTGGTCACATGTGCTATTCAAACAGGACCAAAAATAATCTCGAATGTCGGAAAATCTTTTTTATTAAAAGAAAAAGTGCATAATACATGCTCAACCCGTTTTTCATGTGTTTAATAAAATGCATTTCAAAAATCACGTGAAAAAGAAAATTCTCCATATCCAGAGCATCCCAAAATCCATAAAACCATACCCGGAACATCGCAAGCTTCAAAGGCAACAACAAATTCAGAGTTCGCTGACTAACAATTACTCTGCGTGCTGGCATGTTGTGAACTTAGATATCAACTTCAGTGGATTATCATCAGACAAAATAGACATCATGCTTACAAGTTCATTCTTAGACAAAATGGCAGAAATTTTTCTATGGGGGGTCAGGCGATTTTTTGAAAAATTTTGAAAATTTTGCCGACGTTTTTTTATAGGTCGACCAATTAGATTTTCCGAGCTCTCCTAAAATAGTATTAAAAAGAATTTCAAAGCAAAACCGCGAAAAATTAAATTTCAGCCTAAACAACTTTTAAGACTTCCTGAAAAAAAAAATAATCGGGGCCTATATAAAAGTCTGAACTACGTTCACCGACTCTTAAAAAGAGTCTAAATAACAAACATGAGGTGTGTAGAGGTGGCATTGTCCCAGTCTTGCTTGTATTTGGCACCCATCGCAAGCGCCTTCTGTCTCAACTCCCCCCTCAAGGGATTCACAAAGCCACTCAGACAGAACACCACGTCTAAAACACACATTTACACATACACATGTGGTGCATATTGATCGACAGCCAAATTAGTCATCAGAACTGAAGAGTTCGGAAAATTAAAAAAAGAAACACAATCATTATTCCGACATTCGACGGAATATATGCTTCGTTGGCTTTTTTCAGACCAATTTCTGCGAACAAAATAATAATGTTTAATATAAAATTCTACACCCTAATGAAATAATTGATTAGTTTAACAAACGTGACAAGATATTCTACAAGTCATCATTTTTATTAAAGCTTTGGCTCTGTGGGTTCAAAAACGCCAAGTTTATTCTTGGCCAATTTATGCGCGCTTTAAAAATCGTATCTATGATGCTGAAAGCGTAACGTGAATTAATTACATGTGGCGAATTAACTAGCACTCAAAGTTAATCCATATCAAAACAAGACTTCTCGTGTACAATGCAAAGCCCTGAATGTTCCGACTGCCCCTTAACCCATATCGAATAAACTTTGGGAGAAGAAAATTTTGAAAAACTAAAAATCTTGGACAATATCAAAGATCAATTGTAAAAAATTTGAGTCGTACAAAATTAAAATGATCGATTAGCTAGCCTCAATTCAATTTGGAACGATTTGTTGTGCGAGATAACTCGCGTTACGTTTTCAAGTGCGCATAAATTAGTCCAGAGCAAGGCAAAAGTAACAATTTTCAAACTGCCATAACTTTGCAAAAAATGATCGCAGAAAACTTTTTTAAATTTGATTTCAAGGAGTCGATATTTTCAGTTAAAAAAAAATCAGACGATTAAATGAAAAAACATCCCAAGCATAAATATTCCGTTTTCCTCGAAAGTCAGAACAATAAGGCAAGCTAATCGGTCATATTAATTACAATCACGACTCAAAATTTAACACCCAAAATTGACGCTAAAAGCCCAAAAAATCTATCGTTTCTCAAAATTTCTCAACCAAAAATTAATGCAGATCAAACAAAGGGCAGTTGAACGACTAAATAGTGTCCTGATATACGAGCAATTTCATTGAACTAGCGTGTACCGCACCTCCGGTGCTTCGAATTTTTGACAACTCATGAAAAACCACACATATTGGAAACCAGATCGACGGCACCCAATTACAGGGTCGGTAATTTCAAATTTAATAAACTTTTTTTAATTCCAATTTTCTGTCAAATCCCAAGAACGTCTAAAATCGAGAACTCCAAACACTAGAGTCGTCATTTTTGGAGGCAAGATTATTCGCAACCCCTGAGAGTACCCTAACAACACCCAACTACAGGGTAGAGAAATTCAAATTTTGAACAAAAAAAATAATTCAAGTTTTTTGAAAAAAAATCACTACAAACGTGATATCTCGAGAACTACAAGGATTTGAGCCATCACATTTGGAGACAAGATTCGCAACCTCTGAGAGTACCCTAACAGCACCCAACTACAGGATATAGAAATTCAAATTTTGAACATACGTCCAAGTTTTCTGAAATGTTTTTGAAAAAAATCACAAAAAACGTCATATCTCAAAAACTACAAGGATTTGAGCCATCACATTTGGAGACAATATTCGCAAATTCTGAGAGTACCCTAACAGCACCCAACTACAGGATATAGAAATTCAAATTTTGAAGAAAAAATAATTCAAGTTTTTTGAAAAAAAAATCACTACAAACGTTATATCTCGAAAACTACAAGGATTTGAGCAGTCATAATGGGAGGCAAGGTTTGCAACCCCTGAGAGTACTCTAATAGCCCCCCGTCCAACTACAGGATTGAGAATTTGAACTTTTTTTGAAAAAAAAGTGATTTTTGAAATGCATTTTAAATGCAAACGGCTTGAGCATGTATTATGCACTTTTTCTTTTAATAAAAAAGATTTTCCGACATTCGAGATTATTTTTTGGTCCTGTTTGAATAGCAAATGTGACCAACGTGCAACTAAGAATGGATAGTTGAAAACTGTTGGCTCCCTTTTTCGTGAAATTCAAAGAGCTTTCAGGAAACTTTTTTTCTTTTTATTAGCGAACTTGCGAGCATTAGTGTATTAGTACGAACCTTCTTTTTTTCTAACCTAACTCGCAAATAAAAGTGTCATTATTTAGTGGCACAGTGTTCATTATTTGGTGGCACTTCTGCTATTATCACGATCTGAAGCATCGGAAATTTCATAGCATCTGTTATCTGCTTGATTCCAGGCTAGTGTTTGTGATTAATTGGCTAAGTAGGTCGCAGATCGAATCTCAAACGTAGCTGAATTTTTGCTAATTCGAAGCTTGTTTTTACTTTTTTCTTATTGCACCTCATAGAGCTGATTATGTATTGTTCTGGCTAGTACGTGCGAAGCGCAGCTACGCCTCTGTGTTGAAATTTTCAAGTAAACGTTTTTTCAAAAACATGTCAGTTGTTTGTTTCCATTACTCGTTTTCAACTGCCAGTTCGCTTTGTTTTTGAATATCGCTTGATGGTCAAAAGAGATCCTAACGCCCATATATAAACACAAGGTTACGAAGTTATCGGGTTTGTTGATAAGCTAGACTTAACAGTGGCGTGGTGCGTCGTGCCGCAATTGGGGACTAATCATTTGCAAACTTTCGAAAACGAGACGGTGGAATGTTTTATCTTTTCAGACTTTTTCAACATGGCTTTAACACCAAGTTACGAGAAGAACAATTATTTTATACGCTAGTTAAGCTATAGTTTGTCTGTTCGAAAGTATAGTTGCAGCTTTTTCGCATGTTCATAAAAATTACGAAAGTTTTTCTTGAAAATAAAAATAAACCTTCAAAAATTTTCAGTTTGTTTTTTTTTTTCCATTTTTTTAAATATGCGGTGGTTGAAACACTGTGTGCTACCTGAACAGCGAACAGATTTTTTTCAATTTATTGTATTTTGTTAGGATTTTTAGCTTGTCTAAACATTTAAAAATGTTCACACGTATCAGAAATTGTCAAAGATTTACCAATACTAAAATTGAATAAAAAGAGCTATTTTTAACCATTTCTACTGAGAAAGTTATTACTCGGCGTACTGACATTTAGCTTCGATTTGATTAGTTCGCAATTGAGTTTTATATACTTGAATTAATACCGATAAATGTGTTGAGTTACTGTAATATCCAGCTCGTGAAAAAAGAAAATTAAATCTGCTTGATAATCAATTATATAGTTAAATGCGGGCTTCACTATCTCGCCATGTTTAAGCTTTTAAACGTATTATTTTTGCATGTTTAACGAAGGAATTTTTGCGCGTTTAAGCTATATCGTATATTGCAATTGTTAAGATTTTTTCGATTTTCCTGTTTGAATTTTAAATGAACTTAATATAAGTCAAAAATTCAAACCACGAAAAACCGCGTTTGAGCATCAACAACTTTTGGGACGTTTGCCTGAAAAATCAACATAGCCTGTAAACTGCCTCCACTACGTTAATTTACCTCGAAAAAAACACGATTGAAACTCGAGGGCTTATGTTCACAGCAACTGGCTATTTTCGCTTGTGCTCACTGATAGTTCAAACGGCGAGTAAAACATACCTTTCATCAAACACTCAAACTTGTCATATTTCACAGCCGGTGCTGCTGGCTTCTTTGAAGCGGATTCCACTGATAGTTTTCTCTCTTTCTTTACAGGAGTCAGTTTCTTTTCAGTGGATTCTTGTGAATTCTCTCGAGTTAGCTAAAACCAATACAATTGAGGGAAATTGAAGGCCACTCAAGGTCCGATTTCTAAGATTCAACATAAAGACTTGCCTCTATCTATTCAAGAAGATTCAATTTTTTTTGAATTTAGGATAGAAATACTTACCTTGTGTTTTGTAGTTTTTGAAGCAGACGATGGTGTTTTCATTTCCCAATTGGGCATTTTCCGCGGTGGTTTACTACCAGTTAAAGGACTTTCTTTTGAATTATCTTCTATTTTCGAATCTTTCGCAACGAGTGTAGATGGAGAATTGACTCTCATTTCAGAAGCTATACTAACAGATGTTTTTGTTGGCGTGTTTTTCGAAATGTCTTCTTTCGAATTCTGCTTAGAAATGGTCGGTTTTGTGGAACTGTTTAAGGCTATTGAGTTTGTAAGCGACTGTCTGTTTTTGAAGAAAGAGCCAATCTTTATGGTGTCTGGAGCTAGTTCGCTTGAGGTCGAAGGTACTGTAAGAGAGGCTAGAGCATTTGCACTTGAGTATGAAGAAGTTTGCACTTCATGGCTTTCTCCCATCAGTTTGAAAAACGTCAGCCCGTATAGATGCTGAAATTATAAGTAGCGGTAAGTTTTAAAACCTTTCGAGCAGCCGTGGCCGAGTGGGGGTAAGGCAAGCGTCTCTCAACATGAGGACCGTGCGTTCGAATCCCAATTCGCGCATGGTTGGAGGGGCCCTTATTGTCGTTCGCCTCCTCTAGGTGGGACGACTACGGCAAAATTGATGACATGCCCCATCCCCAACAGCAAAAGGTTCATATATCTCCCCTAATTGAGAAAAACATGCACATTTTGCTTATTTTCCTGGGTTGGGTAATGTTGGCTCACCCGGAAACAACCAGCACGGATTACGTGGACCTCGAACCACCAACCTTTTGACTAAGAGGCGTAGGTTTAGCCACTTCACTGCTTCTTCCCTAACGAGAGTTTATTCTTAAAAACATTGATAGTACTGAAAACTAGATGTTGTCAATTTGTACTATGACGTTTTCAATTCAAATAGGTTTAAAATTGGAATCGATGAAGTATAAACTTGCACAATATGTCTGATTTTTCATTTCAAAAATCATTGCCTTTAGGTCACTACAACTATGGGTAAAATTATGCTTCACAGATTTCCATTAACTTGCCCCATAGAGTAAACGAAACGACTGGTTTATGTCCAAATTCGTAGTCTGAATAAAACTGGAAGATCGAGTAGACTTACATTATTGAAAGGCTGCGTGCAAACCACTTTCACTCGGTCCCAATACTGATCGCGGGTTTCAGCATTCAGTTTAGCCACGGAGAACATTTTCACCCTGAAGTAGACCAGATATGCAATATTTAAGGAACCAATAATCAAGTCCATCTCGTTCCGCAAAATCTCTTTAATTGCCGAGACCTATGTATTTTTTTGTTTTATTTTTTTGGGCGGGAACAAATTGTTTACCCTTAAGGAACGGGTATGGACAAATGTGCACTTTAAACCAACGCATTATTTTACGCAGACCCATGAGAAAAAATACGTTTATGAATTGTAACATTTTTTCATGAATTTTGAAAAACTGAATATAATCCAAAACACGGAATCTTAGAGAACATTAAACAAGAGTAACTTTGCAATACTTGCGACACAATAATTTTTTTGCTAATTTAAAAATCAGTTAAACTCCATTGTTATATAATAACCAACACAAAAACTTAACTGACCCCTGCATATTTTTCTCGTTTCTACTGTCCTGTAGTGTCATAAGTGAGCTGCAGAGGAGTAGTACTTTGAAGTCCTCCTCTTTAAGCGAAGTGGCCTTGCCCACCAACACCTCCACAAACCCACTTCCATAGTTGCCCACGTGCACACTCGTGACCTTGGTCGAGCGCTGCAGCTGCAACAAAAATACAAAATCAAGATAATCCACTCGAGAAGTTTTCCAACAAAATATTGAAAAAACTCCCTCTTCATGAAATCCTAGACAGTCCTCATGTGTAACACAATTTTAATTCGGAACTTGATTTCAATTAGGAGCTTTGATACAATCAAAATCAAAATTTTACAAGCAGCTTAAAAATCTTTTTGACCACAAATAAACAGCAAGACTTTTTCCAGGTCTATTTGGAGAAAAGTGGCAGCTTGATCTAGAAACAGTAGTAGTTACCTGTTGATGTGGAATCATCGCAAAAACCTACACAGTTACGACACCCTTGCTGATTGCAAGAACTGACGAAAAATTGATCTGAGTAGCAAATTGAAGACCAATTCTTCTTGACACCGGTAGAATTTTTCCGAAATACTTAATTAGAAGAAGAATCACGACAATAAAGTTTAAAATATGAGTAACATTAGACATTTTTACGAGCTTTCTTTGAAGAAGTTGAAATCACAAGAAAAAACAACTGCTAAGGGCAAAAGACGATGAAACATGAATTGTCTGACTAGCAAAACGCGGACCAAAAATCATCTCATCGGACAAATTTTTCTGAAATATTTTGGAACAGGAAACACGACAAAAGGGCTAAAATATGACAAAAAAAATCTACCAGAAACCCCTCCAAACGGAAACAATATCGCTACACAGAAAAACTGTCTGAACCCCCCCCCCCCCCCCACCTCACTCAAACATTAATTTTATGGTCTAACGAGGGGTTTTACAAAGTTACTTATGAAGACCAAATATGTTTGCCATGGCCTAATTAGTCTGCATGGCAACTTTCATCACAATCGGACAAAGTGAACAGTAACTTCAAATATAAAAAATTGCAGGTGGGGGGGGGGGGGAAGAGCCAAAATAAGTTATTTGTATATATTGCAAGAAGAAGGCAAAACACTGGTGGACTAAGGTTTCACAACAGAACGATACATGAGCCACACAGAAACACCAACAAGTTTAACTGCATAAACGGCAACCGAAATTCTAAACAAAAAGGCGAAGCTTCGCTTCGGAAACATTAGCGAGAACACGAAATAAGCAGATCTAAGCTCTTTTCCAGCTTCCCACCCCCCTCGTAAAATTACAGAATTAAACTGCTCAAAAATTGTTCACACGGCGTTTTGCATGTTAAAAATGTTGTATAAAATTGTTCACCTGTTCACGCTGACACGTTTTAACGCAGTTTATAACATGAATAGTAATTATTAATAGACTTTCATAAATTGAATTTCAGAAAACATCAAAGGAGGGAACTGGAAAAGAGCCCAGCTCTACATAGTGCAGTAAGAAAATTAGAAATAAGCCTCGAATTAGCAAAAATTCGGCTACCTCTGAGATTCAAACCAGCGACCGAGAGATTATGAGTCTCACACTCTAGCCACTCAGACACGGAAACGTATTAAATATAAAGCACTAGCCACAAACAAAGCAGAGAACAGATGCTATACAATTTTCAACTCTACAGTGAAATTTACAAATAAGTGAACACTTTTAATGAACACTTTTATTTGCGAGTTAAGTTAGAAAAAAGAGAAATATCGTAAAAATACGCTACGCTGATGACTTGTGTAAACATAATCAACCAATGAAAACCACAAGAATGCGTAAAAAGGAGAAACGCTATAGAATGTGTGTTCGAACGCCATAGAAAGAATTGATCTGACCTTACATATTACCAACTTCCTGCCAGGGCATATCAAGGCAAATAAATCATAGGCCCGAAATGCGAACAACCGTGGGCAGCAAACAACATTTCGCGCCATAGCCGAACATGCACAGGAGGACCCTTGAGGGGTGAAAACTATAGAAAACAGAAATAGTGTAGTCAAAATTTAAAAAGTCGGACAAATAAGCCGAATAATAGGTAGACCAAGGATAATCTAAAATAAAAAAAAACCCTAATCCAGTAAAAAATTATTTAATGTACACATACCCGTACATAGTGGCGTGCACGGGAAATTTTCGTGTGGAAGGGGGTTCCGAATTTTTTGTAGGCCGACCAAATTAACTTTCTGAGCCTCCGAAAGCCTACAAAGACCTTTTAAAGACGTTCTATTTGCACTTTTTTGTCACGAGCATCCTCCTCGAACTTAGTATATTGGCGCCAAAAACGCTTTTACCACCAAAAGGAGTAGACACTTGGAGAAAATTTGGCAACCAGTTTTGAGGAGGGCTCCCTATCCCCCGCCACGCTACTGTCCGTACCTTAATATGCGGCCTAAGCCGCCTTAATATTCAGTTTTTTAGTAAAAAGTCAAGGCTACGATTTGATAATTTCTGCTAATATCAGGGGGTAAAAACTAACATATGCTTGCTTTTCAAGCTTTTCAATACAAACGAATTCATCCCTAACAAGAACTCGACACAAATGCGTGGAAAGAAAGCTGCCCAATAGCTGAATGGTTCTACTAGTTGGAAAAAAGTCAGGGAAACCGAGTGAAACTAAAAAAAAATTTATCCTGAAACTTCTGAACTTCTTTTTAATCCACTGGGAAATCTTAAATTTTAAATCCATTTCGAGCCTTAAGACAAAAATCAGCAGCAAAAATAATTTCCAAAATTCTAGATCTATGCAAAATCTTTGAATTTTAGATATATCATTTATACTAAGTTACATACCATTTTTAGCAATAGTTAAACTCAAAATTTCAGGAAATTGAGTATATGTCAGCAGCACAAATGATTCAAATGATTTTGCTTATCAGGTTGTTAACCCACTAAAGTCCATATTCCGACTTAGAAGTGTAAAGAAATCAAATAGCTAACAGTCAAATTTGACTGTAATTGTTTTTTTGAATTTTTCCTGAAAAAAAAGAAAAAAATCAACACTGCGTAGATAATTGCCCTCACTGCAATCATTGACACTTAAAAAAGCGTAAGCAAACGCAGCGATTCAAAAGTCTTCTGATTAATAAGTATTGATTTTTCCTACCTGAACAACAACTGACGCCTGTTTCTCTCCTTTGCTGTTACATGTCCAGTAACCACTACTGTCCGAAAAGATATTAGAAGCTAGATGGTCCTAAAACAGTTCCGTCTTCTGTAACAAAAGTGATTTGGTGCAGATTAATATTTTGGGTATTCAATCTCAACTTTCGACTTACCGGATGCTCCGAGGACACGGAAATAACCTTCTCAATTGATACCTTGGACATTTTTGTGTTTTCACAATGGCATCTCACATCTTCACATTAATCTGAAGATAGCTCAGTCAAAACTGAAAATCAAAAACTTTTTTAAAAATAACTGAAAATTCGTTATCACTAATCTAAAATCTTTACGCGCATACAATTTAGAGCCATTTTTTAAACAAAAAATCTTGCTCGACTGATTAAGACCAAACACCCTCGAATCCTCCATAAAAGCAAAAAAGCTATATCGTAATTTTCAAAAAAAAATGGAAGAACACACGGCTTATCACACGAGTAATCAACTTATTTTTCTTCAAAACAGGATTTTCTTAGAGTTAAAAAAAAACACGATTAATCGGTGGCTTGCACAAGCAGCAAGAAAGTTTAGAACAGTTATTTGAACATTTGAAAAAACAAAGAAAAAACGGGTTTCCCATCTTTTGTGCATTTTTCAAAAAGAAACTATCAATACGCACTCATAGAATAAAACTTTTGTAATCATTTCATCAACAAACTATTCAAAATGCATTCAAATTACGAGATAATTACCCGTGCAAAAAAGTGAACCAACTGTCCAATAATATTTAACCAGACGCAAAAATGCAGTTCTAAAATGCAGTGTAAATTGAAAATCAATAAAAAACATAGCCATACTCCACAGATGATTCTTCACTTGAACTTCTAATTCTTGGATCAAAAATAAACGTAAAGTTAAAGCGGAGCATCGCAACACTTGCATTATAACGCAATCATAGCACTGCAAGCTGGCGCTTAGAAAATAAGAAAGAACGCAGTCAAAAAATATTTGACACAGAGGCTAAGTGGAGCTTCGAATCACTTGTGATACTAAAAAAATAGCATTGCAAGCTAGCAGACAGGAAAGGAAACGAGAGCCACTAAGTCCAAAGAAAACGGAAAAACTTTCGATAAAATCACAACTATAAACTTCCAAAAGATTGTCTGGAATGATGTTCTATTTGCGGAAGCACATCCAGAAACACATTCGAAGGCATCAATGAAAATTCAAAAACAATTTTTGAGCGAAAATAAAATGAAATAGTGGTCATGAAAAACTATAAACCATAAACTAGCGTTTAACGCACCTCTGGTGTTTCGAAATTTTTCGACAACTCATGAAAAACCGCATATATTGGAAACAAGATCTGCAAACTCTGACTGCACCCAATTACAGGGCTGGTAATTTCAAACTTTTTAATTTTTTTAAATTCCCATTTAGAAATACCATAAAAACGTCATCTCAAAAACTTAATGGGCCTCTGGAGAAATTTGGAGGCCAGATTTGCAACCACTGAGAGCACCCTACTATAAGGTTGGGAATTTCAAATTTCGTGAATTTTTTAAACCTGTTTCCCCGAAAAAAAATTGAAAAAATCATTAAAAACGACTTATCTCGGAAACTAAAAGGATTTGAGCATTCATATTTAGAGGCAAGGTTTGAGACACCTGGGTGTACGCTGACAAAAAGGTTGTCTTCATCAAGTTAGTAGTTTGAAATTTTGTGAATTTCTTTGTAGATAAAAAATCAAAAAAATAAATGTCACATCTCGGAAACTAAAAGCATTTGAGCAGTCGCATGTGGCAAAATTTGTAACTTCTGGGAGTATCCTGACAGCACTCAACTACAAAGTTAGGATTATCAAATTTTGAAAAAAAAATAATTTGATTTTTCTGAATTTTTTTTTGAAAAAATCACAGAAAACGTCATATCTCGAAAACTACAAGGATTTGAGCAGTCATATTTAGAGGCAAGACTCGCAATCCTTGAGAGTACTTTGAAAGGACATAAATACAGGGTTGGGAATTTCAGATTTTGAAAACTATTTGGTTATTTGAGTTTTCAGAAAGTTTTTGATAAAATCACAAAAATTGTCGTATCTCGTATACTAAAAGAATTTGGGCATTCATAATTGGAGGACAAATTCGCAACCCCTTAGAAAACCCTGACAGCATCCCACTATTGGGCTGCTTATTTTAAACTCGGTTAAATAACCACTAAAATCAAACTGGAAAATCGAAAAAAAAATTCTTAACCATTTACGATATGTCGTAACGTGCAAAAATTCTTTCGTTCAGCATGCAGTAATAATACGTTGAAAAAGCTTAAACATGGCGAGATAGTGAAGCCTGCATTTAAATATATAATAGATTCTATTCTGAGATTTTTAACGTTTTGCGCAATCAATCGTTTTGTGCAAAACATTATGGTTCCTTCGAACGACCCAAAAGTGCAAAATACTCGATAGACTTGAGCTTAAAAACAGAAGCGAAGAGAGCTTCGTGCTACTTATACAATACAGATATAACACGGAAGCTAGCCGAAAAAAATCAGTATGATAGCCAAACGAAAAAAAAAACAGCCACAAACCAAAAACAGGCCGCTCTGAAACTACAGGAGTGTCTTTGTGATCTACCACTTATATAAATAAGTGCTCTGCTGATTGTTCTTCAAAACTGATGACAAATTATTTGCAGATTGTTCTTTGACAAAAATTCTCCGTGACCTCCCATTACAACTTGCAGCAATTCGTTATGGCAGTTTCTTTTCTCCTGGTATTAATTAGTGAAAAATTCTGACTCGAACCAAAATTCTATCTCGAACCAAAATTCTGCCATAGTTTTGCAGAAAAAAATATTTAAAGTAAACTTTATTCTGTATTCTGGCCTAGTGGAAAAATGTGTCTCAAAAACGAGAGTAAATACCAAAAAACCACTGAAAAAAATGAACCTTACCCTCCGTTTGAAAATTTCGAACATTTCAAAAATCAAACATAGGCAACAGAAGGCTTGAAAAAGTCAAGACATCCAGAAAAGGACTGAAATTTTTCGAAGCAACTTCAAAAAAAATACATACACGGCCCTAAAGCTCTTTGCACTTCAAGAGTTGACACTTTATTGATGAAACTAATGCCATTTGAAAAAGCTGAACAGAGCAATTTATTGGATAAGCACGTAAAATCAACGCGTACCTTAAGCTTCAAGCAATTTCTTTTATTCCATTGGGAGCTCTGAAAACTCTTAATTCAACATCTTTCAAAATAAGCTAAGCTTAATCCGTAGATAGTTGAACAGTTAATAATTTACAATATTATTACAAAAAAAAACATTTAAATTGAAAATTATGATTTTTCACTGTTTTTATTATGTTCTGATTACATGCTTTTTACATCGCTTTTTATACTAACCAGGATGCTAAAAAAGAATAAACAGCTCGGATTCAGAGAAGCGAAGACAACAATAAGGGCATAGTTTACTGTTATTTAATGCAAATATGCTAATTTTGATTATTGTTCCGACCATTGAAAATGGGGAGGAACTTTGTATTAGGGTGTTTTAGTTGTTTTTTTCTTTTCCACGCAAAATCACGTACCACAAATAATCATCGGACTGGGTTGAGTGATATATCATATTAAAGATATAACCGGTTTGAAAATTTTGATTTTTCGTCTTATTTCGAGCGAATAAAGCGATCGAGCAGTCTTATTTTAACTGCTTAAAAAAAAAGTTTAATTTAAAACGTGAAAAATTACTTTTACACGAATAACGTTAGTTTAATTTGAAAATTTTAGCACCTTTATGGACTCAAACTTTTCAAAAAAAATCAAAAAACTGCAAAAAAAAATTCAAACTTTTTTTTCGTTTTTCTTGTAATTTTCTACAAAAATTGTTTTTCAATTTACTTATTTTACTATGACTCAAAAAAAACTAATCCCCCGGTTTTTTATTCAGCTCCTTTTATCACACCACGCCGAAAAAAAAACGCCAATAACTTGAAAAAAAAATTTGCTTTATTTTTAAGACTGGTCGGAACATTCTGTGCTACTTGCTCAGTAACCGGCTATCCTAGTTTTGTTTTTAAAGTTGATTGATCTTTGTTGGCAAAACGTGAGATAATTGTTTTGATCAGGGAAAATCGGGGGCGTAGAAATTAGCATGTGTGACAACTAGCATTTGTTAATTGCTTTAAATGGGTGTTGATTCCGAAAAACAAATTAGCATAAAATTTCAAATAATTTCGACAACCTCCTGAGTTAAAATTTCACTTTCGCCTAACTTAAAATTCGGTTCAGTACGTGCTGTTCAAAATTTGAGAATAACGTGAAATAGTTCCATTTTTTCCCCGGGAAGTTCGACCTAACACTGAGCGTCTATTTACTGCTCAAAAAACGGCCCCGTGAGTCTGTCAGTCAAGATTATTTGAGAAAAAGTCGAGTACTAGATTTAGTAATATTTGCGTAGCACGTTGGAAAGATAATTGAACCTTAAAGCGGTTGAGGATATTAGACAACCAAATGAGATGTGGACGAAAGATTGAATTTAGACATCGACGCAAATCCTAAACTAAGAGCAATTACACATAATTAACGAGGGCTATTCTCATGGGCGAAAGACTAAACAAAAACTGTCAAAGTCAATTTATGAAATGAATTAACTAACCTTCAACTAAAATGAATTAAAGGAAGCAATGTTTTGCTTCTTATATAAGGAAACCCTTGAAATACAAAATGTATTCGAATTCGCCGGCGATCAGTGACAATTTGTAAGTTTTCGGCCAATATTAATATTAAGTCCCTGGGATTGTTTACTTTCTTTGAGATTTTAAAGCTTTAATTCTAAACTTCGGAATACTGAAATCTGATTGGCTAATTTTTGTTTTGGACCATTCGGTCCTTCGCCTATGAGTGATGCCACAGTAATTAAGCTGTTATCAAATCTGAAGTTTGTAGTTACAGTGCCATTAAATTTAGTTTGAGCTTGCTTATATGAAAACCAAACTTTCACATGTCAGTTTTATAATTAAAATCTTTTATATATCATTTAAAAAACATACTTTACTCTGCATTGTGATTATACTTTTTATAGAAATTTGTTTTTGTCCAAAAGGCTAGTTTGGTAGGAAACACGAAGATCTAAATTCCGTTTTTATAACTGTAGTCTAATTTCCTTTCCGTCAACTTTCCTGTCCCTATTTTTAGAACTGTCGAGGTTTGGTATGCTTGAGCTAAACTTTCAGAGTCACCTAATGGTAATGGCTGCTTCTAGTAACTCAACTGTGCAATTATTTGTTTT